ATCTATCAGATTTAGACCCCAACGAGCCGAATCATCCTTCGAATGCCAATGATGAAACGTTTAGCAGCTGTCTATCAACTATCTTCAATGTCAATCCAAATGTTCCCAAGGTCGAATTGCCTCCTAAGGAAAAGGCATACGAATATGTGAATTGGTTCTTTGCAGTCTCTCATCCTTATCTTCCTATTCTCCACCAACCAACATTTATGAAAATGGTAATATCTCAGCTCTTCCTACCATGAATGAGTTGATTTGCGATGGGCCGTGGTACTGACAGACAACCGGTTTCACAGCTAGAAAGAATATATACAGACAAGACTTACGAACCTAGCCCTGCTCAGATTGTAATGGTTCACATGATTTTTGCAATTGTGGATTTCCAAAACGCATCACAGGACCGCATGGTCAATCGCGGCCACAATACAACGTTATCAACCGAAACAATGCAACGTTCACGAATGCACTATCATTACGCGCTTTCCTTTTTTTACGGACTCTTGAACACCTCCGGCCTGGAGGATCTTCAAGCCATTGGCTTGATTTTACAGCACATTAGGGGGTTTCCGAAGCCTGGTGGAAGCTGGCTTCTATCCCGAATTGCTATCTCCATGTGTTTCGAGCTTGGTCTCCACCGTTCACCCAAGAAGTGGGCATACTCAGGATCGACAAATCCAATTGATATAGAGCTCCGGAAGCGTGTGTTTTGGTCTATCCTCACACTGGAGGTCTCATTGAGCGCTAGACTAGGCAGGCCAATGAGTATCAGGGAAACCGATTTTGATGTGGAATATCCAGAGAGGCTTGATGACGAGTTTATCACAGAAACCGGATATCTCAAGCGCGAGGGCGGCAATGAAGACTGTGCATTTGATGTTTCTATTGAAATGTTCAAGTTCACATCTCTTTATATCGAGATGCTTGGTACACTATATGCGCCTGCGAGACCTTCAAGAGAGAAATATGTTTCTTTGGTTGAAGAGCTTGAAGGAAAGCTTCTAAAATGGAAAGAACAAGCCCCCAAAAGCTTGAGTAAGTTTTCTTATTGGTGCACTTTTCGATACTATTGACACTGACGCATTGAAGGCCTTGATTCCCCAAAGCCGGAGAAGCGCTTCCAGGCAGCCCATCTACATTCATGGTTTCATGAGTAAGTCCTCCAATCGGAAAATTCCTACTACTTAAAAGAAGTACCTATTATTAACTTGGCGCAGATGCCGAGTTCTTATGCGTCATCCCTCATTGAGCCTTTCGCCATCCCCATCGTTTACCAATGACTGTATTCGTATTTGTGTTGATTCGTCCCGACAAATCCTGCATCAAACCGACGAGCTGCGCAAGGGTAGCCACTACCTTGACACTACATGGTCTGGTGCTACCATACAGTTATTGGCAACATTGACAATTTTGTTTTCTGTATGGGAGAAGAGGGATACTGTAACTCCAGATGAAGTTGTCCAAGTCAAAACCGATATGGATCTTTGCATGGACATTATGGGTGATGTCGGAAGTTTGCTTGGTAGGACAGCCACTCTACAAATCTATGATGATGCATAATGCTAAAGAATTATACTAGGTTCGCCGAACAAGCTTAGAGAAGTTGTGCAAGTCTTGACGCACGGTACAATGGAGCTCCTTAATCGAAAGAGGGGTGAACAGGATCAGCGGACACAGCCAGCTTCACGCGGTAGCCACAATTCTCCATATCCACCATTCACTGCCGGTCCTACCCCTCCAGGATTTGTTCCATCATCTACCGGCGCATCAAAGATGCCTCCAACTTCACATATTACATCCGATCAATATCCTGCGGTTTACAACGCAGTTCATGACCTTCGGGGGGGGCATATCCCTATATTTACTGATGCCGCGAATATGGGGTCACTGCCGGAAGACCAAAGTTTTGGTCATGTCACTACAATGGGACCAGCCCCATATAATGGCTTCACTCAACCCCCGGTTACTTTTGCATCAACGACTGAGCCCCCGACTGCGTCTGCCTTTGGTTGGTGGTCCGGCAACGAGTCATGGCGGGAATACGCACAATGCATAAGTACAATGGCCGGAGAGTTGGATCCAACGGAGACATATTCAGCTTCAGCGCTCATTGCTTTAGGTCGGGACTGCGATAACGGCAGCATATTGCGTCCTGACGCAAGTTCACATAATGGGGCGCCCAGTACTAGCGGTATCAGTCTGGGCACAGTTAACGCGACAGGCAGCCCAGGTGCATCAATCTCCACATCACGTAACCCTTATCCCCCACAAGAAGCCACCAGTGCTTCTTGGCCGATACTAGCCGGGAGCTATGGATATGCAGACAGCTCAGCCCTGAGGGGAGTCGGTGGTGATACCGGGAACAATGGGTCCTAATTCTTGGTATATTTGCTTTTTCTTACTTAGGGGGTTTTCTTATTTTCCCATTCGGTTGCTTTTTATTCCGTTTTTCTTTTTCTTTTCTTCTCTCCATCCGTCGTGCCTCACATGTCACCTTAATTCTAAAGTCATGCTTGAGCACCACCGCTAGCCACCGTGGTGAGGTTTTACCGACCTTGGGACTCTGTCATAATAGGGCGGTATTACCTACATTGAGCACCAGAGTGGAGTTGTTTTATGTTTATGGCTCACACACACCACATAAAAGCTTTCTTTCGGGCGGGTCTCCAATTTTTCACTTCTCTTTTCGGCAGATTTTTCTGCTTCTTCCATTCGAAAAAAAAACACATACGCCTCTTCAATTTTATTTATTTTTGCTCTTTCCTGCAATGGTTATTTTATTTTTTATTTTTTATTTCATATTCATTTCACTGTAACTATTGGAACACTGTATGTATGCACCCACCATCTTCTTTCGGGGTCTCTATTATTTTTCCTTCTTACATTTCTTTTGTTCTTATTTCCTTGCGTCGAACTTGTAAAGAAAGATTGATTGAACGAGCATGTCCTAGAGCTGAAACTGAAGAAAGAGGAGGAAAGTGTATGAGAAATGGTGCCACATATCATGTTTTTTTAAACCGCGGAATAAGAAATTTCAACGGTATAACTCTACTATCACCTTACAAGCACAGAGCTGTGTGTAACGCAGCAGCAGCAGCAGCAGCACGTTGACGTAAACCAATGCGACAAAGCAAAACAAGGCACTGCTAACCTGGGCCAAAGTAACACAGTGTGTTGGGAATAATGAATCAGTTCCAAGGACATAAAAGAGTCGGTCACATGCGATGCCAGAGGTGTGAATAAGGTTGCAGGTCGAGGAGGACCGAGTCGGGATTTGGCAGATAAGCTTTTTCAGGCGCGGAGCTGACCCATCATCCCTCTTTCCGGATTGGGATTGGAGGTGGGAGGGGGAGGGGCGGTGAGAGAGGTCGAGGAGTAAGAAGAAGAAGAAGAAGAAGGGGGGATGGAGGGCGGGAGGGAGGGATGGAAGATCTGCCTGGGAGCTACTGTAGCTAGTAGTTGACCCACGATACTTGCCATGCTTACTCTACACTCACGGTTGTTTCAAAACATAATGCTACTTCACATACATAACAACCATTGTACAAGATGTACATATGTATGCCAGTACGCGTCTCTTTCTCTCGTGAAATATATAATAGAAACATATAGCAACGTACAATAAATAAGTCGTTAATGCAAATACGGGTTGCGCGGCCTTTTTTTTTTATTTTTTTCCTTTTACAACTAGACCTGCGCCCCCCTCCCACCTTGAACCTCCCCTTTCATCCCATCCGAGCCATCATGATATTATCATTATGCGTCGTAGCACGGCCGGCATGATAATAATGGGGTCCAATTTGCAATGACCAGATAATGGGGTGGTGGTGGTGGTGGTGGTGGTGGTGGCGGGTACCTACTTGTGGGAAGGAATCCCAATTCATTTCCTTTTTCACGGTATTTCCTTTTTCTCGTCCTTTCATTGAGAGGTTTGGGTTAGGTTGGTCGAGATGCAGCTGCTACCTACATAAAGTAGGATCCGACGCATGTAGGTCTCGAGATGGGCGCGGTGCGGTCAAGCCGATAGTTTTGCACCCGGTACAACCGGAGGCGTTAGGCTAGGGCTGGAGTTCAGTATGGGATGCCCGCCCGCCCCCCACCCACTCTTCCACCCATCCAGCCTACCCGGAGAGAGCTGTTGTGATCTGTGGGATCGAGGGTAGATCCCAATTTCAAAACCTGTACGCGGGGATACAGGGAAAGTTGATAGGGCGAGGATCTTGGTGTGATTGCGTATGCATCACTTGGATATGTGCTCTCGGGGGTCTGTTGATAGGAGAGGTTCATCTCTGTGAATCCTTGTCGCTGGGACACAAGTCTATTTAACCGTGTCCGCTGGTGGCTTCATTTATTATTTAGACTTCGGGGTACAAAAATGGCCGTTTACAGTACTTGTCCCACATGCGGTGGCACTGGAAGAGTAATCTATCTGTATCAACCCTTGTTGTTTGAGACAATTTTCATAACCTTATTCATTATTGCCAAGACTTGACGATTGACCAGTAGGTAGATGGTATAATACTCGCTATCAACGCTTGTTTACAATAAAAACAAGAAAAACAAGAACAGCCTGGTTCAAAGAATGCAAATGTACGGTGAAATATCACAAGACGCTCAATGTGCACACAAAACAGACCGGAGATCATGGTACTTGAAACAAACATGGAAAAAGCAAATAAAAGAACAGAGCAGACTAAAACCGGTACCAAACAGCCAAAGTTCATTTCAAAGTAAATTCAAACCAAAAACAACCGATGTGTAAGATGATGCTGCGTAAAACTAAAAAAACAATCCAAACCGGGTATGAAATGAAATTAATGAAAATAACCAAGCAATTGCTATCCCTCAGCCTTTCCAAATTCCAAGGGTCATGAAATGCCACATCAAAATCCACCCCACTCGTTCCTTTTCTTTCTCGCTTGCTGAAAAATTGACAACAAGTTTATTCAAAAGCAGAGAGTTCTATAAAGTGTACTCCCAACAGTGCATATCTATGCTGCCATCATTTATGCCTGGACTGTTCCGTCCTTCTTTCTTCTACCCAAGAGTGTAGCATTATCTAGACTCAATTCAAATCCGCCAGGTTTCCTCTTCGTAGATCTAGCATGTCCGCCAGTGTTGGTCTTCGGCGTGGTGGGGGACATTGGAGCTGTCGCTCCGACGCCCCGAGCAGCAGCAATGGCCCCAGCATACGTGCTTCCGGAGTTCAAATTGGTCTTCTTCAATGTTGCCTCCATCCCCGCAACATCATCGGCCTCATTATCCTTGGGGATCTTAACAGATTCTGGAATGTCTTCTTCTTCGGAGTCGAATTCGTCTTCCTCGTTCAAAGGCTGAGCACCTCTGTATCCTTGCTTCCAGTTCTTGCGACGTTTGCCTTCCTCCTCCATACGATGAACTGCGTACCCGACGTCGAATACCTCTCTCAAACTGACAACACCAGGAGACCTAAAATCCATCCGTTTGTTGGCTCCGGGCATGCTGGGATCAGGGGTGAAGTCGGGCTCGATAGCCATCGGTGTAAACTGCATGTTCTGTTTGTGAATTGCAGGAGTGGCTAAAGGAGGTGCGTCCAATGCAGCCACGGTAGCCTCGTTTGTGTTCTTAATCCACGGGTGATTCATGAACTCCACGATAGTGTATCTCTTCACAGGATCGACAGTCAAAAGGTGCGAAACCAGGTCCTGGGCTGATTTCGAAATATCATCCCACCATGGGGAGAGGAAAGTATATTGTCCCTTCGCAACCTTTTCCGTAAGGACTGATATACTTTCGTCGTAGAAGGGCGGGAATCCACACAACAAAGTGTAAAGAACACACCCCAGAGCCCACATATCAACACTCTTGGAGTAACGTTCATCTTTGACGATCTCTGGTGCTGTATATCCCACCGTACCGCAGGGAGTCATCGTTTGAGTATCCCACACGACCTTGGATAGCCCAAAGTCGGCGACCTTTATCCGCCCGATGCCGCCACCGCCTACTCCAGGAATAAACTCGCCTTCGTCTTCTTTATCTTCATCTTCTGGTGATCGACTTTTAGGGCTCTTTGTTGGAATGAACGGAATGGGTTCAAAAAGGAGGTTTTCTGGTTTGATATCCCTTGCAAAAGTGTTGACATTAGTCAATGATTGAATTGCAGAATTTAAAAAAGGGTTATTACCTGTGTACTACTCCCTTTTCCTCGTGGAGATATCTTAAAGCCTCCGCAACTTGTACAATGACATGTCTACTAAGATCCTCTGAGAAGTATGTAAGGCGCACTATTTGGTGAAATAACTCTCCTCCAGGACAGAGCTCTAATATAAGATAGTAATAACTTCGAGATTCTGAGAATGAGATCAAAGAGACGATGTTTTCATGATTAAGGCCCCGCATTATTTGGACCTCTTTCAGAATGTTTGCTCGCTATATAGATGTTAGTTTGCTATCCAAGATACGGTCTGAATTCTTGATTTGTAGTAAGCTTTGAAGAAATATGAAATGTAAATCCCCAAGGAAAGAAAGAAAACAAAAGCATAATTTTTCCCAAAGAACAGTGGAGGTAATGGGCAAGTGATATTTGATAGAAGGTGTTTAAGGAATATATATCGCACCTCAACTGTTTTCGGTATTTTCTTGAAATCCGGATGAAGGTGATCATTACCCTACGAAAAAAATTCCCAAAAGAAGTTGGCTAAAAGGTTCCCGGAAACTCCGTTTGGAGATATTTGGACCGGCTTGAAGCAAGGAAATAAATTTGAGAACAACAAAAGAAAGCATTATCCACATACCTGAGCCGCATTGAGTTCATATTTTCGGACGACTTTGATGGCAACTTGATCGTACTCTCCAGTACTATCTCTCGCGCGGTAGACATTGCTGAATGCCCCATCACCCATTTTTTCCAGCAACATCCATCGTTCGAGGCCAGGATATTTTGGTAACCGTTCTCGAGTCTCCCTTTCCTCGGCGACGATTCGCGCAAGTACATTCTCATCATAATTCTTTCCTCCTTGTCCACCAATACCACCAGCGGATACTCCCACACCGATTTGAGAGGGCACTACACCAGGATCGTCGACCGGGAGCTTCTGATGAGCTGCTGTAGCGTTGGCTGCAGCATTGGCAGCCTGAGCGGCTACATTGCGGTTGCCATCAGGAGCTACTGAGAAGTCTTGTTTCTGTTGATACTTCTTTTGGTGTTCGGCCTTTGCGTGGATTGGGTCTGAATGTGCATGGTTTTGTGGAGCCGGCGCTGATTGAGGTGAGCTATCTTGGTTATTTCGCGCCTGCTTTCCATGGCGGATGAAGTTTTTCAAATTCTGAAATTGCGCAGCCATCAGTAAGGTATTCCGTTCAAATTGGTTATTCGATCGAATAGTTTATAACTGAGGGGCCAAAGATGGAGAGTACGGAAATATCAACAGATGGATTTTCCAAAAAAATATGATGGAGCAAACAATAGGGAATCAACCGAATTAATCGATCGGAATACAACAGAGCTTGGACAGTGGTAATGAGGGGAACTAAGAGGCGGAGTCTTGGGTTGAGTTGGAGGTCAAACAAGGACGGACGAGGCGTTGCATGCAGCAAGCACAAGCACGATGACATGCCCCTCCCTCGCCCCACAAACGTCGTCATTCTCTCCGGCAGGGAAAATAGGATAGGTCAAGGGCCAACTTCCAGCCTCGAAAAATCCCACGTCGCCTTATGATATCGAGAGGAATAGAAAGTGAACGGGTGTGGGAATAACAGAAAAGCATCAGACAGATCCTGTCGTATGCAGGTATTGCTTACCTCTATCACAGGCATGACAGGTTGAAAGGGCCGGGGGGGGGGGGGGGGTGTTTCTTGAAAAGTTGGACCGGTGAAGCTTGTATGTAGGTTGTCAATGTCCTAGGTGCGGGGGGTGAGTGTATATTAAGTCCAACGGTGATGGCTGGTTAATAAATTTGACTGAATGAGAAATGACAATTAAAAGAACAAGAGTATGGGGGAGAGAGGATATGATAAAAAGGATTGCGCGGTGAAGATGATAAAGGACAGAGCTAGAGGCAAAGGCTTTCGGCAGCCGGATGGAGGGGTTTCGTCACTCGGATTGTCACTCGGCGGTTTGGTTTGCTTTTGTTGGAGGAGGCTAAGGGTTCAATCAAGACCAAAAACCCACCTAACTTCATCTCCTGCCCTATCAAATACTTAAGTACCGGTACATAGACGCGTTTACTACATGTAGTTATGCACTTTGAGGTTGATTCTCTAACTAGATGTATCTACCTGGCGAGTGTTGCGCTGGTGTCTTGCTACTACAATATTAATGCTGGGAATCCCAGCCAGAATCAGCATCATCATCGCCACAAGCAGCCGATAGGTGAGAGAGAGAAATGTTTACCAAGCATTCTCCAGAAAGACAAGAAGAGACAGGGTCTTATCCTAAGAGTGATGAGTCGATCCAGTGTTCTTTGTCCAAAGAGGCCCAAGATCGGTGTCCCGGCCGCCTGGCTCAGCCTTTGTGGAGTTCTCTCTGCACGCGGCGGGGTCTCATGATGCACGATGACGACGAAGGTTGATACGGCAGGCTCCCCTGCAAGAGGAGTTTGATACAACAACGTCATGCCTTGATTTGGTCTCTCTTGGCTCACTCTCTTGACCGTCATCTCATCGATACAATTTTGGAAATAATCTTGTTTCTATAGCGCTGGCCTGCGCAACAAATCCATTTTTATTGCAGTGACTTGCTCAGTGCACAATGCAATATCGTACTTTCCTGTGTAGGTAATACACTCTCGGGGCATACATACTGCAACTGCTTTCCCCGCCTGAATTCCAAGGGTATGAGGTGGATAGGTGGATAGGTGAAAAGGCATCAACATCAGGAACAGAAAACGAAAAGGCATCAGTCTCCCCTAGCCACCGTCATCATAGTGGAACTCCGTGCTTTAAATCGCCAATAGAGTGTGATATCTATCCCCGCACCCGCCCCGCGAGCCTTGTGCATGCACGTGGTGGATCTCTACCTACCACAGAGCCGCATGTGGGGTGTGGAATTTACCAAGCTGCCGTCCCTTGCGGGTACCTGACAAGAAAACAAAAGTGAACACGTATTTAGCTAATCGATATCTAGCGATGTATGACTCCTACGATTCAATTATTAGGATCACATGATTTGTCCTACACTTCAAACTCAAATACAGGGAAGAACCCATGCGATTGATGCTAATATTTAGTACTTATAGGCCTGGTTGATTGATGGGAACACCTACAACACTAACGAGGCATTGGGTTATCCTGTATCATGTAGCTGGTGGTAGTGCCAGCGGCAGAGGACTAGCTCGCCTATTATTTACAGATGAGCATCAACACAAAGCAACTTTATTAAAAGGCGTTTCAGTCAACTACCCACGTTTCAGAGCCCAAAGACTACATGTAAGCTGCCATTCCCCACCATGTGCGCCAAAATCAATTGACAGACATTTCTCAACCTTGGATATCAGCGCGACTGAGGCAGGCTTTTGTCGGCTAGCTGGCGCTGATCTTGATATCAAACCGAACTCCGGATCAAGATGGTATGGTTCAATATATATCTAAAGTAATAATCTATGTGCTAACATCTAGATATTTTGATACCTGTAGCCTGATAAGTACCAAGATGAGATCAACTGCAGGAAGTGCAATAATAACAAGGCATTATCTATCGATATATCTAACGAGGGTTTTTTTTTGAGGCACGAAACATCACTTTGTTTGGTTACCCAGGCTACGAGTGCATATCTTTCCCGCAAGAACTAAAACAAACTGGAATATCAAGCAATAGGCCTGTGTGTTATACATGTATGCAGTCGAATCAAAATCCAGTAGATCGTACTTTAGTTAGCTGTCAGAATGCAGATCATTAGCGGAGTATTGGTGGGTGTCGAATCCATTGTACAGTATCCGGTAGAATTATTGCGAAAGTCAGAACTAAAAGGGTGGGTTTCTTGGCCCGTGCTCACTGCAAAAATTCCTTTGAGGGCCAATGGGACTATCGGGTCACGGAAAACCCACTTTCGCATTAATTCTACCAGAATCTGTATGCTCCCAAGATCGAGAGAACCAGAACTCGCAAGTTTAAGTCGCCGAAATACTATTTAAAAAGTCGTTTACTACGGCTCTGTGATGCGAGTCACAATTCTATATCCTACATACCGCACATTTTTCATATACTCGACTGTAGTAGAAAATCGTTTCCTCAACCGGCCAGTTTTCACTATGTACTCATCTAAGACTGCTAGAGCCTGGGTAAATAAATATCTGTTGAGCAATGATCCTCTTTCTCAAAGTAAAGCTGCCCCAGCCAAGTTTTTCTTACGCGGATGCGGGACCATTTAAATTCCGTGATGCTTGCTCGTCTGTGGGCGTGTACAACGTTGCCAGCCTTTGCCAATAGACAAAGGCAAACCAGCGTTCCCAGCTGCGCATGAAAAGCTATGTAGGAGCCTGCTCTATTCACTCAAGTAAACCCGTGTCAGATTAAACCCAGGAACTTATGGTAGACAGCCTTAAAACCGAACACTACAGTACCGTACATAAGTCTAAGGCTTTGTTCAGGATTGGGGCTACTGCACTGTACCACATTCGATAAATCTACTTTACATGTAGCTGAACTACATGTAGTTAGGCCGGTAGCTACCACATGTAGCTACTCCAGAGTAGTAGGGACCCTGTAGCTACACTACCGCAAAGTATAAATTTGCAGGGGCGGCCTTGAGGGTTAAAAGTCTCCCAGGGTCCAATGACAAATCACCAACCAGATCCTTCATCTCGATGATAGAGCGTGAGATAAAATTATTGTAGAAGCATGGGAAGAGTTCTATTGGCCGAGTCAGCCACCTAAACCCTGTTTTTAGACCCCTGTTTCTACAATAATTCTACCTCTCGCTATATCGTCCTTTCGCCACTGAACTGTATCGTCATTGGCCACGAATTTTTTCCCAAGCATCATGCTCCTGCGCTGTGCTTGAAGGATTTGTGTTGATTGGCATGGATTCGGCTCATGCTTTTGGGTGTTGAAAACCCCACCTCTGTCACCACAGAAGCTGCTCTCATTCGCGTGTCTACCATATGCACCCACTATTTTAAAACCCGAGCTATCTACTTTTGAGATATCTATGGGCATACCCCTACAATATTATGACTACTGGCAAGAATGGAGCTTGGGGGCTGCTCCAGCTGTTTCCATCGTGATCCAATGCACACCAATTATATGCGATTGTGTGTGATAACAGCACTCATCCCCATCCACTGGCCTATATTTTCAAACCACCTGCAGAAGTTTCACTTGACGGTTGGACTCGGCTCCCATGATCCCTTCGGCTGGAGCTTCGACATACCATAAAGACCAGGCTTATTCCCCAAATCATAACAGGGAAAGGTAGTTTTTCAACCAATCAGAGCAACAAGAATGAGTGACCTGGTATACCGTACGCTACATGTATGTACATGATGTAGTCAACCATCGCCAGCAGAGAACCGCAGTGCAACTTTGGTATGGTTATACAGTGTTTATGAACTGGTTCGAGGTACTACGGTACTTTAAAGTGCCTATATCATCATTATATCTGTGTCGGAATGAGGCAGACAGCATGGTCCAACTTTGATAGCCTAGATATCATGATGGATTACTGTAATCCTAGCATGTAGGTACTTGCGCAATTACCTGCCTATCAACAAATACCTATTCGGAGATTCCTCCCAACGATTGATAGAGAATCACCTTCGGGTTCATTCCCGTACCGATGCTGCTGATCTCGTACTCTCAACCACATACGGGCATGTAAACGTGGGTCGCCTTCCACACGACGCTGAAGGCCCATTATTAACTGGAGAAACATCCATTTTCCCTGCTTTTGCTGTACCTACTGCGCTACGCTACGCTACCTGTAATAATATAGCTTCACAACAATTTTTTTGCTTCAACGTTTCAATTTTACTCCACCACCGTATCTCCAAACATCTCGCTTTGCCCTGCAGGAGGACTGGAATACATTATCAGTTGACGCCCTGCTTCACCGAGAAAAGCTGTCGTCTGCTCTAACAAGAGGGAGCGCCTAGAGATCCTATCGCAAAGACCTGTTTCTAGTAACACGACGCAACACGACACAGCGCAACGCAACGCAAGGGGGATTCAGGAGAGAAAACAAGAGCTGAAAGAACAATTTTTGTTTAGAAGTTACCTGTTTGAAGGGAGAAAAGAAGAGAAGGAAAATCAGCAACAACCTTACGGTCGATTACTTGTACCTACATCTGTACAGCATAAATCACAGGCATACTGTACGCAGGTGTATCCTAGACTTCCGTAGGCACTTTACCCAACTACAGGTTTTGCGGTTCAGCCCCCCCCAAAGCAACAACAGCAACAGTCCTACACGCCTTGTCCTGCAAAGAAGAGAAAAGAAGCAAAACAAAATCCAGGGTTTCCTCGCCCTCGGCATAAAAAATTCATAAAAGCTAAACCCGGGGTTTCCTTCCCATTTTGCCGGCCGAGGAAGTCACAGTACTACTGATAGGCCGGGATTCAGAGAGAGAGAGAAAGAGCTTCTGCAGTGCATTGCGCTGGATCGCCCTGTGTTTCTTTTCGGGGCTCGCCGTTCTTCTATTTTGGGGACACGATTATTCAATCAATCCTCAGCTTCTCCTCCAGCTTTTCCTCTTTTCCCATTCTTTTCTGTGGGCAGGCTTGTTTGTCATTCTGTTCTGTTCTTTCCCGGTAGAGACGTAGTACCTGGACTCGGCTGTCACACTTATTATTATCAGTTTGGCTTTCTACCCCGCCATGTCGCTCTCAGCAGCTCCCCGATCAACTACAACAACAACAAAAACAACAACAACTTCGGCGGACCCAGCTTCGCCTCCAAACATCACCCCGCACCGAAGGCTTTCGCGTAAAAGAATCCCTTCACCTCCTCGTAATGTCACCGATTTTGCTGCCTTTGAGAGCTCCCGTGTGCCACAGCTTTCGCTACACACTTACCCGAGCACAAGCTCATTAGCTGACCTCTATGCTTCTCATGGACGAATGACACCAAGTAGACGCTCTCCAGTTGGTTCACGATGTTCCTCACGTGGTGGTGCCAAAATTGGTTTTGACAGCGGGGATGAATTGCAGATTCTCACTGCCGTTATTCCGGCTTCGCAAGCCAATATCAATCTCCCACCAACACCACCATCAGGAAGTGGGGGGGAAGGTGATGACGATGAGGGTGGCGTGCCACTGTCTCTTGATTTCGATGGAGTCTTTGGGACGTCCCCAAGGAATCGTAGGGTATTGAGAAGAGTCAAGGCCAACATTCATGAGGTCTCCCCATCACAGTCCGGTTCAGCCCCCATGTCAGCTGCGTCTGATTCTACCACCACTCTAAGCTCGCCGCCAACACCGCCGAAGGAACAAGCCATAATGGCTTTGCACCATCCTAGACCTCTATCAAAGAGTCCGAAGAGCGCCTATTTCCAAGATAGTTTACTTGTAGCTACACAAATGCAACAAGCCATGGAAAGTGGTATAGATGCATACCATCGTGGAGTTGGTGTGAGTGGAGATTATCACACTGTGGATCAACCTGATCCGCGCTTTGAAAGTGATGAAAGGGACGAGGAGCCATTTGAGGTTAGGAGGGCAGAATCAATCAAAGTTACTAAGGCAGAATCAATCAAGGTCAGAAAAGTCGAGGAGCTGGAGATGAAGAGGGCAGAGGAAATCGAGGCTGGGGCTGGAAAGGTGGAGGAGCCCGAGACTGGCAGGATATATGTGCAACTTGAACCAAACATGTCAGAGCAGCTTGATGCTGATAGAGATAATGCACCGGTTCAGGTCAGCACAACGCCGGATTCAATTGAGCCCAGCAAAATCGAAAAGGAAGAACCATCACAGCAACCATCCAGTCATAGCCGTAGCTTGGAGCCCGGAGAGCAACTACGGTTGACAGTATCGACACCCATGCTAGAGGCCGTTGTCTTTTCTGAATCAGAATTCGATACAGCTACGGAAGGAGATGAGGATGACGATTATGCATATGGTGGATCAGATGCAGGAACTATAGTTATAAAGCTCCAAACAACTGTCCAGGAACAGAAATTGCGGGAAGAGGAGGAAGTTAGAAGACAAGAGGATGCTACCAAAAGACAAGAGGCAGAGGAGGCCAACCGCCGAAAAGAGGAAGCCAACAGGCTAGAAGAAATTGCTAGACAGGAGGAGCTTGCTAGACAAGAGGCGGAAAACAATGCGGATGAAAGTGAAGACGAAGAGCTAGCTCAGCATCCGATCATTGGCAAAGAAGGACGGAAGCCTACACCCTGGCCAACCCCCCGGGTCAATTCCTATGCGTCATCTTTAGACATAGATAGAAGAGCTGAAACGGGCTCCCCGCTTAGTGAGGACGGGGATCTGGAGTTTCACGATGCTCTATCATCTCCTCTTGCTTCTCCTATAATCACTCCTCGTGAAGAGGAACTGGCACTGCCAAATCTGACACCCCAGGTCACACCTAAAAAAAAGAGTGAATTCGTGATCTCGTTTGGTCCCACACCAACACGCTCCAACCCTGGGGATCCATCACCATCGACCAACTCAGTACTTCCGCAACCCCCCCAGAATCCACCTCCACCTGGACCGCCGGTATTAAATATCATTCCTGCAACCCCCATGCCACTCATGTCGCCTAGTGCCATGCAGGAGAAGCAGCTAGGCCACTCATTGCCGCTTCTGGAGCGAAGATCAACAGAAATTCCTACAGTCATCACTACCTCACCGACTCTTCCTCTTGCGGCCCCGCTTGTACCACCAAGACTTAAGAAAGCTCAACGTCCATCGCTACTTTCCCAGCCCAAACGTATGCGGGAATCCAAATTGCACCCATGGTGGCGCCCTCGACTTGAGAATGGTGAGGATGAAGGATTGTCTCGATCATTCACTACGCAAACACAGGCTTCTGAGTACTCGGTTTCCAACAGTGGTGTGCCCGGGAAGCCTGATGGGAAACGTGGGGGAAGAGTTACGAAGAAGATTAAGGGAACAAAATTTCAAATTGAATTTATTGGCCTAGGGACTCTGAGGGAAAAGGTTAAAGTTGCTGGAGAGAAAACCAGTGGGTTGGGGAGAAGAATGTCCTTGAGGAAAAAGGCGTAGTATTTATATCCGATTTTGATGCTTGTTATGAGGATGATGATGATTTGATATATGATATGATGCTTGATACGATACGATGTGATGCGATATTGATGTAGTTTTTCCATGTTTTTTTTTCCTTTGTCCCTTTTTGAACCTAGCATGGAAAACTGATTTAGCGACTCGATTTTGGAACCGGGAATTGGTAGTTTGTATTGGCGAGTTCAGTGTTGTTTGGGAAGGAGTTTTTTTGCTGTTGATATATCTCCCCAGCTAATTTCCTTCATTTTTCTTCATTTCTGTTACCTGCCGAGTTTGCTGGTCACTCGTAAAGTTTATTATGTTTAGTCTTGCTAGCTTACCTATCAAGTTATGCCCATCACGGTTTTACGAATATCTTAATTACATATTCCAGTCATGAATGGTCGCAAAAATCAGAGGTTCATGCGATGAGTTGATATCGTGGATGTTATTGTACATTTGCGGGGAGGGAAAGGTCGTAATTTCATCCTATCTAATCCTCTTCCATAGCCTCAATCCTGTTCTCCGCCTTTGCCCCATCGGCAGAAAAACTGGCTTCTTTATCTACCATCTCCACAAGTACACTTACGATATTCTCCTCTATGCCTCTCTTCCCAAGTTCCTCCAAATGTTTCTTTGGATCTAGCTTTCCAACATATCGTGTCTTCAATTCGTCCTTGCTCAAGTCGTTTTCCTCTTTAACACGCTTCTCATAGGCTTCAGCAAGACCAACCATCTTCTCGAGACGCTCCTGGTTCTCTTTTGCCGAGGACTTGAAATCCTTCATTGTAAGCCCCTCAGTCCAAACGGTTTTGTGAAGGTTCATCAGCATGTTCTCCTCCAGATGAGTCTTTCGATAATTGATAGCGATAGAGTAGTAATGCCTGTTAAGACCGTGGATGAGAGCCTGAATTGACGGTTTATTAAGGTGTCCTAAGTTGGAAGTCGTCTGGCGGGGCTCCTGGCCAAGCATTAGGGACTGAGGGTTGATGAGCCGGAAGGCGTCGATGACGACTTTACCCTTGACAGACTGGATAGGGTCAATAACAACGGCGACGGCACGTGGGGTAAGTTGTTCAAAGGATTGTTGAGTGTTGATGTCGACACTGGATAGCCAACAGCCAAAACCGGGATGGGAATGGTACCAGCCAACGACTGTTTCTGGTCTAAATACCGAGTTTGAGTACCGTTCTCTAATATGTTGAGCTTCATCATTCTTACCTTCCAGTTTGTCTTAGCATATCCATCATCTTGGTCTGGAATACAGGGTCGACAGCTTCGACAGAAACACCGGTTCCGCTCTGTGGCATCGCAAACACATCCACCACACGAACGGTGTAATCGTCTACAAATTCCCCAAGCATGAGTCCCATGACTTCCATTGGCACACCTAGTAATCCATGATAGTCAGTATCGATCATTTCGTAAAATCATTTGCTTTATCAAGCTATGGAAACAAACCAGCTCGGCCATGTCTTAGCATCTTCAATAATGCTAGCGAGGAAATGTAGACGGTCTCGGAGTTATCAATCACCGGAGTATCCTGAGAGTATTGAAATTAAAATTAGTTTTATTATCATCAGGGAAAGTATGGAAGTATATCGGCTTATAGAATAGTGGAACTAGAACTTACCACTCCTGGAGGAGCACCGCCCATAGAACCCATTCCTTGAGCAGCTGCGAGTACGCGGTTTAATCTGTCCATGCAGAAGGTGTATTAACAGCGGTATGTGTGATAGTCTAGATCCGAGCGATGATACTGACGATGATATCTGGATGAATAACGTATTGGTGGCGATGATAGTATTCGCCCGGAGATGAAGGTAGAGAGAGATGGAGGGGTACGTCGTGCTGTTTCTCGGCAGAGAGCTTGAGTGAAGCGTTGACCTACTTTCCTCAGGGTAACGCAGATTCGCTTGCAGGGAGCATTTATCAGAACGCCCACATGCCATAAGGAGATACAAGAGAATCAAGCTCCCCCGCCTTTCTCCTTCACAAATCTGCACTCGTCTCTGACGGCATCGATATCGATATTTTAAAGCGGAGCTTTTCAATACTGTTCTTAGAATATCGCTTTTGTTTGACCAACTGTCCCAATAATGGCTCAGAAAGCAGATGACGATTATTTGAAGCTCTTCGAGGGCATCGAAGAGCAACCAGATACTACTACTACCAAACCATCAGCCGAGAATATTGCGACCCAGCAATCTGAACAAGATATACTTGCTGAGCTTGATTATCTCACTGCAGAACGTCCTAAGGCCGCAGTTTCTAGACCTCATACCCCCCGTCTCGCCCCTTCACCTAGCACAAAGAGCTTCGAACGCAGCAGGACCCCCGCTGGCAGGAACAGTGGGGAGGGCTACGGCTATGGCCTACCACCTAGTAGGAGAGATAGCGGAGATACTGGGATGAAAAAAGCTGAAAGAACTTCCCTAGATATTGTCTCTCCCGCCACCCCCAGTACCGGGAAAGAGGCAAGGCAGGCTACTGCATCTGGGAGTAACGCAGAAAGTAGTATTAGTGGAGGTACCGTCGATGCTACTTCTGCCACTTCTGCCACTGCTATTAATGCTGCTGCTGCTGGTGGTGGTGGTGGTGGCGGTGGTGCCAGTGGCGGATGGGGCTGGGGCTCAATTTGGTCAACGGCAACAGCAGCGGTCAAGACTGCCGAAGGAATGGTCAAAGAGATTCAGCAGTCGGAGGAAGGGAAAAAATGGGCTAGTCAGGTCAAGGGCAATGCTGAAGTATTGCGTGGTCTAGGTCCGTCAAAGCTAGGGTTGGATCAGATGAAGTAGCTAACTTGAAATTCAGCTGGAGACGTTCGCTCCCGCGCACTTCCCACATTCACCACACTTCTTCATACACTTGCTCCCCCGATTTCTTCTCATGAGCAACTCCGTATACATATTACTCATGACCTAGAGAACTACCCCTTCATTGACAATGTTGTGTATGGGGTATTTGATCGGGTCATGCAGCAAGTAGAAGGCGGTGATTTACTCGTTGTACAGCGAGGTGGGGGTTCTAAACCTCGCTCTTCACTGGACACAGCATTCAGCGGCGGCCCTTGGTGGAAGGGAATGGAAAAGGTACATTTCTGTGTTCCTTAATCACCTGTAATAACAAGTCATATCTGATCTCTTTCCTTTCAGAGAAACCTAAATGCCACTTTGGGCCTCGAGGAAGGTGTCAAGCTTGCTCGTGCAGCAACAGATTCATATTCCCAGGAATTTGCCTCAAAGTCTGATACCATTCCCGATATCCCGTCGAAAGATAACCCAACTCGAAAGTCGAACATCTTCCTTGCAATTCAGCCCACTGTTTATACGCAACAGCCCGTCGGAAACCTGGGGGTCTCAGATGACAAGGAAGAAAAAGAGCAAGTTATCGTATTTGCTATACATCTACATGACCCTGTAAATTCCCTATCATTTTCTACCGTCTCACAGGCACTCCCGGCCCAGTGGCTGGAGTGGCTGGACGCCCCTGCACCGAAAGACACCCAACCTGGCGATTGGGCACTTCCTGAGGTCATCCGTAACATGGTAGATATGGGGGGCATTGATCCTCGAGAATGGATAGTTGAGTGGGTGGAGGAGGCGGTCGGGCTAGCTGTAGGCGTTGTAGCACAGAAATACGTTGCCAAGAGGATGCGAGTAGGCGACTCAATTGGCGAACCGATAATCGAGAAAGAAGGAGGGGGAGGGGGGGAGGAGGCAAGAGCCATCGGATTATAACAGGCTCAACCCAGCTAGTAATTGAACAGTAAATATGCCCATACTTATCCCGGGAGCCGAGTTCAGGGAAGTTTCATAACCCGCTTTCTTTTTCGTTTTGTTCCTTTTGTCACGAAACTGGGGGAATGTCTCTCAGGTAGTGTCTCTCGTACTATCTTCCGCATATTCATTACCATCTTATCTGGCGGAGAGTTAAAGTAGTTTGTATCCCGACTGGTTTTCTTTAATCAGACGTAATTTGTGAAACACAACTTTATTATAATAAGTCTAGTTTTACTCTCTTTTTAAAGCATGTCATAGTGCCGCCTCTAAAAACTCTGATCACACTTGGGATAGAGCAGTAAATACATCCTCCACTGAAACCCAATGGAACTACTAAACATAAGAAAGAAAATAGCGACATAGTATGTCGAACAGGCCTTTTCGTCAGGCATTAGCCAAATCAAGGTTTCGAGGAGAAAAAAGGAATTTATTAGTTTCAATTATAACTATATTCAAGAGTACAGAAAATTTAAGGATACCTACATGTATTTACTATATGTATTATATCTATTAGTAGCTACCGATAAAGATGTAAGTACCCAAAGCTACATGTACATATAAACCACGCAGATGCACAATGTAATTTCTCAGGTTTCAGGATCTAGAACCTAGTAAAGAGAATTATAATGTCTACAAGTATTCCATCTTTCTCTCCCTCGGACAGGCATCCGAATTCTCACAGTACTAGTTTGTAGATCAAGAACAAAATACAAATCCATCAATTATACTTCTTACCCAAGTCGCTTTTAAACGCCGAGATACATTAAGAAGAGAAGAAGAGAAAGAAAAAAAAACCGAAAAAGGAAATAGAGAAAATAAGGAACTAAATCCTGAGATTATTTACCGCTATTTCTTTGCATCGGTTGCTTTTTTCTTGTCCTTTTTTCCACCTGCCAACAACTCTAGATGACCTGCTTTCTGCGCAAGATGGCGTTCAGTTCCTGCAGCAAGTTGTGCGCCCAATCTCTGCTCATCGTTAAGAATAAGAATGTGGGGAAAACTAGGGGAGGAGATAGTGACCTTATTAAGGTTGTTGGCCTTCACAAGGGAAGCACGTTTTGGTGCGATTTCTACTCGACCTTTTTTCATAATGCCAGCATTTGTTCTGTCAGAATATCAATTATCAGCAACAGAATAACGATAGGTGTTCAAGAGGCGTTAAACCTTTTTCCAGATTTGGCCGCGATGGGCTTTGACAACTTCTTTGTTCCTTGGGCCATTTTTGCGTTCCTGGATGTTGAGTGTCTTGGATCTTAAAAATTCAGTAGTGCAGTTGTGGAACTTATGGTGGTGTGAAGTATTTAGGTTACCCGGCTACTCGGGCCAGCAGTGACGCGCTCAACTGAGCTGTGCATAATACCAAATTTACTGGTGATAAATTTAGGACTACGAATCATTAGGGCCAGGTATACTTTTTTTAAGGAAATTATGTTTAAGTTGCTTAGTATGAGGATCTTAATAGCCAAATTAAAGGTTAACTATCAACGTCTGCACTGGCTTTTGTAGAACGATACCCGTCGTTCCACCAGCACATGGCGCATTTGCAGAGTTAACCAGAACGGGAACAACCCTTGCTCTCCTTATGATCTGGGGAGGTAACGTACTTACCTACTCTTACACATATCTGGTTCACCGTTCACATTCCCATCCTGTCGCAACACTTCTTCATCTTCTGCACTTTTGGTACGGATGACAGCCATGGGCTTTTAGGACCCACCTTGATATCCTTTCATCGGGCTCCATTCCGTAATCTCAAACTACTCTATTTTTCCCTAGTTTGTTCAGGACGTAAGTAAGGTTTATTTTTTTCTGTTGGCCTTTTGCAGTTGTTCCTTCTTCATCAGCCCTCTTCTTGCGACGGGCCATTTCCCTGAAATACTGTGCAAGACTTGATCCGTTCAATTACCTTGACTCAGCATCCCTTAGCCTGTATTTTGCTTCCTCCGAGATGTCCCCATCCTTTTGATCGCGTTTAAAAGTTTACATCTTTTTTCATTCTTCATAACCCCTGTATCTGGTCTTGCACTGCTGGCTCCCAATTATCGCTCAGACAACTTAGCACCCCTCTCTTCCACACCGTGCACCTTTTCTTTTGGATATTTATCAGATCTCATCACCCCTCCGAAGTTTACTACCAACAGAGCACTGCATTAACTCAGTCCATCTGTGGCGCAATCCAGATCAAGTTCAACCCAAGAATCTCAGCGGATTTATACAAAGCTTGAGGTGAGTTAGTTTTACTTTGTATACTTTCGTCAATCTTGCAAATACATGTATCCCAGCCCGATTTATATGGAACTTCATGTTACGCGAGTTTATCTACTGCTTAATCAAGCAAGCATCTTCCAATCTCCATCTTATTTCTCCCTTCTTCTTCTTACCTGCATTCAATTTACACCAGGATTGCTAATTTTATCTAGCGCTCGACTTGGCAGCTCTTTGCTGCTCCTTGATGCTCTTTTGATAACCTTGAAGCGGCGCTGAAAGTGTGAATACCCGGCCTTGTTCCTTATTGATTGTCGCCACACGAAAAGGTATGTGAATGGGTTTTCTTATACCTATTCTATTTAAATTTCTCTTTTTTTCTCCTGTTTAATTCCTTTCATTGTGTTTATCAGCTATTCATTTGTAATCCCGCTACTGCTTGGGGAGCCCTCGATTGATGTCATGTGAGACGCGCTTCGGAAGCTCGGTTTGTACACCACCAACCACATCACCATATTTCTTTCTACAAACTTTCTTTCTAGTTTTTTCAATTGTACACCTGGTATTCTGCTTCCCTTAAAAACAATTACCCTGATCATTAAAGCCTATTCACAATTACTTTGATGCAATTCCAGCCAATATCAAATTATAACAATACCCTTCTCCGATTACTTACTCTTATGAAACCTCTATATCCTACAACCTCGCACCTACTATTTATTTCTGTACTGAACAAACCTTCCTTATTTAATTTATAGTCTTTCCACACCCTATCCACAGAATTCCTGACTTACATCTATTTTAATAATTTAGGTTCTATCACATAAATCCCAAGTATGCCACCTCGCCGACGAGCAAAATCTATTCAGGACCAACCTTCATCTTCTTCGCCCCCGCCTCCTAATACTTCTCCAACTGTTCCTGCGGGACTTATACCTCGTACAACTCGCTCAAGAAAGAGCCAGTCTTCATTGACAATCGAGCCCCCAAGGCAGCAATCAACTACCCGTGCGCCACTATCTGCACCGTCCACAGGCACTAGTTCATCGTGGACTTTACCTCAAACCTCTCCACAATTAGAATCACAACGCCGATCGTCAAGGGTGACAGCTGTAAAAGCTAGAGAAACTATCAGAGAAGCTATACTTCCTCCTAACCAATATAATTCTGCCACCGCACGGGTAAGAAGAGCTAGTATAAATTCCACGAATAATAATCAAATAATGAGGATAGATAATACATTATCCTCAACCGAGGCTGCGCTGAATACAAGTCCTCTACTTACAGCAGCAACCCCGGGATTTAGTCCCAAAAAAAAGACACCACCGGGGCTTAAACAAGAAACATCAGATACAAGGTTATTGGACACAATACTTCAAAACGGGGGTACCAACGACTTCCAGAGAGGGGGAAGAAAGGGGTCATTATCTAATTCAGTCAAATCTGGAAAGGAGACTAATAAAACTGTTGATCCGGTCAATGGTACCGATTTACCTCAAAATTTGGATGTTGTCTCAAGCACAGAAACAAATAATTCCGGACAGGAAGTAAATCTAGAGAGGGGAAGCGTCAAAGAAGTCAATGAGAAAACAATTACAAGAAAATCAGATATCGATATCAATATGCAAGATATGGAAGTGAGCGAACCGATAAAAGGAGGCCTTCCTTTGACAGAGCCTATCGATGCTGAAAACCGGTAAGCAGAGGACCTCTAATGAAATTCTGAGATAGAAAGCAACGCAATTATACTAATTTAGAGTTGGAATATATAGGGAACTCAATACATGCGAATCCGAAGTAGGGGTGATTGAAAAACCCCAAGAGATTATATACATATCTGGTTCATCACCCCAGCAACCCGGTCATGATTCGTCACCAAAGTCATCGGAAGGGGGTATGGAGTCACGTGATACATCGCCTAGTACAAGTCAAAAAGGTAAACATGATTTATCATCGTCTGCAAAAATGCTTTCGAAGGCACGACGTAAAAAACCCCGGAATATCTACATCAGTCCACAGAAGCAGCGGCTTCTGCGTCAGAAGCAGAGGGAACGGGAAGAATATAGAAGAAAAGTTGGGCTTTCGGATTCTATGGCCGGAAATGGTATCCCATTCGACTCTATCATCCAAGACCAGGTTAATAATGCCTTTGAAGAAGACTTTGGGCCACTCCTACGCGGAGAAGTTGTTGTTGTGGACGGTGCGCAAACCCCACTAAACTTGGTTGAAGCAGCGGTGGATCTACTTCTTGGGACTGCGATGGGGGGTATAGAAATTGAAGATATCAGAAAGGAGGATGAAGACGCGGCAAATACTATCATGCGCGAAATCGATGCAGACGAAGAGAGAGACGACTCCAAGTTCCTAAGTCATGTTGATGAGCCTTTATCCCCAATAATCGTCTCACAGAATTGCACTGTCGACTCATCCCTCCAAGCTCCTAATAGCAATGAAGATAGGGCCAAGGGCGGCTCTCCATCATACCAATTACTTGCAGAGGCCGAGAAAGATTGCGAGAAGCACGATCAAACTACCGAGGTTGAAGCCACTAGTGATAGCAACCCCGAAGCGCGAAAGATTACACCTTTGATTAAAGAGTCGGTTAGGCACGTTCCAGTTCATAACTCTGAACAAACCGATGATGAAGATGGAGCATCGTGCTCTGAGTCTCAATCATCAGCCAGCTCGACAGATGAACTGGAAGTTTCCGACCAATTGGACCAATTGGACCCGGAAGTCCTTGAAGATGCAGAAACCTACCCCAGTAGACCAATTGGAAGGCGTTTGTCTTTAGGTCCGGATGGTGAGTTGCAAAAACAGGTTGCAAGAGGGAATTCCAATGTACCTAGTCGAGGGGGAGATGTTTTTATGGTAAGTCTTATTTATATCTTACCAATGTGTCTTTTATAACAAATATCTTCAGGACGATTTCAACGGAAATTCGAATGATTTAAATGCCGAGTTCCAATTGGTGGTTGGCGATAGTCCTCCAATACACGACGGGGAAACCGTTGTGGATGAAGAAGAAGAAAAGCAATTAAAACCACTGGAAAGCGTTGCTGATAATAGCGAGGATAAGCCTAAAGACCCCGAGGTGACGGATTTTGAAGTAAAGAGCGTTACCGGGGACGACATCAAGCTACCCGATGAAAAGATTCCAGACCCGGTTCAAGATGTCACAAACCTCAGTGGGGAGGATCACCCAACAACAATCGACGCTATACCCCATCAAACAACTACAGCGACTGAACCTCAAGCGGTTCAGGGAGAGCCTTCGCTGATAAATGTTCGTTGTCTTCTTTAAAACTTCCTCATAGTTACTAACAAACGCATAGGAACTAAAACTTATTGAAGATGAAATTTACCAAGCTGCTGCTCGGCTAATCACCTTTAGCTCAACTCCTGTAGTTGTAGCTACAAAAAAAAGAAGCTATTCTCAATTCGCCAATATAGAAAGCGGGTATGTTAACAAATCGGTACTATATACTTACAGACCACTAAATTGTGCTTTTAGTGGTCCATCGAGCTCTCAAAATAAAGTTGTGACGCAGGCTCACGAGTGTCCGTTGTGCCAAACTACTCTTGCTGATATTCTTACGATACGCAAAGCAATGGGCTTAGAGCAAGGCCTCAGTGGTATTGAAATCATGAAAAAGCATGTTGAGCTATGCACTAAACTATATGCGGATGACGATGAGGATAGGGATGATGATGAGGAGGACAGGATCGAGGACGAGGAAGAGGAAGAGGAAAATGCAATTGACATTGATATTGATGAGGCAGAATCAGAGGAGGTTGAGGGACAGGGCGACGAGGAAGATGAGGAAGAAGAGGAAGAGGACGAGGACGAGGACGAGGACGAGGACGAGGATGAGGACGAAGAAAAATGGGAAGACGAGGATGTAATGGAGGATGTGGTTGATGGTGATGGGGATGTTGTTTTGGATCCAGAATCGCAGGATTCGTTAAGGTTTCACAGATCCACACAGAATCAGAAAAATCTTCCAGCTTACATTGTCTGCAATCCGGAAACCATTGAAAAGGAGCTCGCGGCTATGGAAGCGGCTCTTTTATCTGGGCAATTCCCGTCGACTACAGCTATCCAAGAACTTTTGTTTTCTAAGCTCACCGATGTCTCTGAATTCCAGAAAAGTCTTGACAGTGCTAAAGACGAGGGAGAGCGATTCCACGCAGAGGAAAATATTGTCTGGGCTTTGGAAGCAATGCAAAAGGAGTATCTTCTTCTAGAAGAGGTCATCAGGCAGAAAGAGGCTGAAGAAGAAGCCTCTGCAATTTTCAGTGGGGAGTCCTTGTCTAGTGGGAGAGGCAGGGGGAGGGGCAGAGGGCGGGGGAGAGGCAGCATACAAAGAGGAAGAGTCAGATCCCATTGCAAAAATCCTCTTTGGCCTGACGATCGTATAGTGTGGGAAGATAAGAAGGAGGCAGAACTCTACGGTTTCGCATATGATCCTGCTCCTGATAAACGCGGCAAACAGGACGCAGATGGGCAGCAATCTGGTAAATACTCGATTCGGGGTAGGGAGTTACGCAGTCGTGATAAAGCCGCCGAGTATGTTATCATGCCTGGATACGAATTCAAAGACCCCCGTGTGCATACACTACAGCCCAAACTCACAAGACGCCGGAGATTGGCAGAAGACAAGAACAAGGAAAAAGAGCCAGGTAAGGAGAATGGGAGAGCGGAATCTGCGCCTGTTCAATTGCCACCTGGCCTCGATCCTTTGATGCCTCCTATCAAAAAGCGAGTTGGTAGACCACCAAAAAATCCTAATGCCCATGCCTTGGCCCTTGCAGCGGCCCAGGCACAACCTAGAGAATTACTTGCGGCGATTCCACTTTCCCGTACTCACTCAGCAGACAATCTTAGCCGAGTCCGAGGCTCGCCGCTCTCAAATCGAAGAAGTGGGCGGCTCAGCAATTTCGGCCAAGGACAACCGGCCGGGGACTCTGGGGGTGATGAAGTGGTTGAATCTTCTGCAGCGGAGCCGGCAGACCAATCATATAGCACACTCCGGATTAGGTTCAGTGCTAACGGTCGCGAGCAATTGAGGGACATTCTCTCAAGAGACCCGAATCCTGTTTTTGAGCTGTCCGATATCATGCCATTACCGTGTTCGCTGAATATCCCTGCTACACAGTCGGAACCCGTATCTCCTTTGAGGCTCTATCATGGCGGAAAGCAAACTCGTCAAAACGATGGTTTACTCACATTGATGACTGACGCTGCTGGTCTGGACGAGGGCCCTGGATCACCTATCTACGACTCGGCTCCAGAAGGAGCGACCACCCCAACGAGAGGCAGAGGCAGAGGGAGGGGGAGAGGTAGGGGGAGAGGTAGGGGGAGAGGCAGGGGGAGAGGCGTATCTATAAGTAGAGGTAGGGGAAGGGGGAGAGGGAGGGGATCCGCAGTAACAGCTTCATCTGGACTGCGTATTGAGACTGCAAGTTCAGTTGATGATGATGAAGCAAGAATGGAAGATGAGGATACCGATGCTTTTACAGATTTCAATGGACGCTTTAATTCTCCTCCCGAGTATAGCCGTAACGGAGAATCAACTGACGCCGACGATCACATTGTTAGCGGCGATGCGTCAGCGACCTCCAATGGGAACCATGATTTTAGGTTTCATTCAAATTCGTTCACGGTCCCAAACAAAACCCCCGTAGGAAAGAGCACTTCGGTTCCGCCAACCACGGCCATGCTTTTTAATGGCAACAGCGCGGCATCAACTCCTTCTCCAATGTTTGGTGTCTTTCAAAGCCGACCAGGCCCGGCTTCGCTACCAGCAATATCCAGTGGTAGTCCTACTGAGTTAAACCCTCAGGATGAACTTGAAGATAGAAAATCAAGACAGCGCGTGAGAGGGAAAACCTATAAGACTCCTACATTTGTCTCAAGGACAGAGGCTGATCCAAGAGCCACGAAAGAAGAAGAGTTTATTGAGGCGCAAAATGGAAATCTTGGAAAACGTAAGAGGACTAGAACGGCACTTGCATATGATGCACCAAAGAGAAAATCTAGAGGAAGACAAACTGAGGGGGGTTCACGTTCAGGTGGCAGTCACGATTCAAGGGACGGGTCGCAAGAGGCAGATGTGGAGATGAGCGATGACGACGAGAGCGATGAAGGTGATATGAGCACTTATGGGGGTACAGGTGCATAGGTGTTTTCTTCTTGATCACCACAAGACAGGACATCATCTCTGAGCTCTCCAATTTATTTTTCCCTAACTTTTTTTTACATCTAAATTAATTTTCATACCTTTCTACGGGCATTTCATCCTTGTTTTTGTCTTTTCTTCGTTTTTTTTCTTAATTCTCGTGGTTTGTGAGACTGTCTGATTCTTCTTTTACGTATGAAATCAGCTGTATTATTATTTATAGGAGGAATGTAACTCCGAGTACGGGTATCAATTCCCAAAAACTTACTGGGCCTGGTGGGTAAATAAATAGACGGCGTTTATCATTTTATTTTTCTTCTCTTTCTGGGTCCTGGATGTGGGGGGGGGGGGGGGGGGGGGTTGCAATAAATTTGTCTCATATCCGTAACAGGCCTAGCCTAGGTTCTAACTAAGTTCAATTGAACGATTCTTACTATCTGGGAATCAAGACATGAACTGGGCAAATCACACCGCATCACTCGCTGAATATAACAGAGTAGGGTACATGAATGTAGAGTCTTGGCAGAACTATTCTTAGCCCCCCTGCAGATAGTAACGGGGGGGCCGGCAGGTTACTATTTTCCCACGCGCTAACATTGCTCTACTTTACCCTATCGATGTTCCAGATCGGTTAGCCATTGGCAGTTCGTCTTTTTTCGAAAAAAACGTATTTCATACAGAACCTCACCCTCTCGAGGAAACTCTGGCACCACCATCGTCAACTATGTACTGCATTCGGCTTAATCTGTTAAGTACCGTCGTACTCCATCTCCGTGCTAGGATCTAACCAGTCACGTGCCTCGAAAGTTGACTCACGGCCTCTTGGCATGCAAAGTACGTACAGGATGGTACCACCCCGCTGTGCGACAGACAGAGGGTGTAACGACGTAATGCTTGTTGGGCAGGCATTGTAATGGTGTATGTCCGACAGGGGGGGGTATTCTCACAACGGCAACAAAGGAACTATGTAATACTGTAATGGTGTCCGCACTTTTGATTTTTAATTTTTTTTCAACTCTAGGCTTTCTTTATTGGTTTATGCATGATAAGAAATGCCGCAATGTTTTTAGGGGCCCACGGAAGGAACGGATGAGGGGATACGGTGTGGATATGGGCAGATCTTTTTGAGGGGGGGGTGAGTGAGCGAGCGGAGGGTATAAATGGAGGCCCCCGAGTTCGCCGAGGGAGGAATTTGGAGTTGAAATAGCATTGTCCTGCGGTACTACTCGACTACTCATAAGTCTAGCACTGTGTACTTCGTTTTACCTGAAAGCACCCAAAGACTCTCTATACTAGCTAGCTATTATGGCTTCTCAAGATGCATTGAACTACGCAAAGGCCCTTGGCATCTTCGCCGGTGGCATAGCTGCTGGTAATTAAAAACTCTCTCTCTCAATACGCCTATCTACATGCCTACCTTTCTATCTTTTCTAACACGCATGAGCACCAGGCACAAACTCCAGCATCTCCTTCCTCGTCATGCCCGCCATCCTGTACCCGCGCACAACGCCGCCAAAGGACCTCCACGCGCAGTGGAAGCACCTCTACGACCACGGAAAGTTCACGCTCCCGCCGCTCGCGATTATTGCTGGTGCAGCGTTCTCGTACGTCGCGTACCACGACGAGAGCCTGCGCGTATCGTATGGGATCGCAGCCGTGTCCACGCTAGGCATCATCCCATTCACGCTGGTGGGCATGGGGGCGAATCTGGGAGCACTGTTGGAGCAGAGATCCTGGGGTGACGCGGATAAGGGGAGGTTGAGGGAGTTGTTGTGGCGGTGGTCGGGGCTCAATTGGTACAGGGCTGTCATGTTGGGGGTGGGGTTTGCGACGGCATTGGTAAAGGCTATATGTTGAATGGGGTATCGTTTCACCGTGACCATGTACGTAAGTAGATCTAGATGGTATTATCCTTGGTGGCTGTTGAGCACTTGGGCCAGAAACGGACTATGGTTCTTTGTTGCTTTGGGTGTAAATTCTTATTTGTCTCATGTCGAGTATAGCTCCGGCACTGAGTAGTTAGCTTGAATGAATAAACGAACGAAGAAAGCAAAAGGTCTCCAGCTAGCCGTACGGGCGTGAAAGCACGAACGAGTGCTGGCGCATGACCCGTAAATATGCTCTTGCCCTATGTTATACCCTGCATGCATGCCAGCAGTGACTTGAATTTGTAAGACCGACCATGTCATGCCTTGAATACGGAACAAGTTGTAACCCGCCATGTATCTATCCCTTGGACGGATGAAACTCTCAAATTCGCAGCCTGGACCGTGCACGCACTTAGTCAGGTAACCTTCTTGCTTTTTGTGTGCGGTGATTATAATACAGCCAATCAAAAATCAGCACGAGTTACTGGATAGGGCTAGTATTAGCTGAAAGAGGGAAGCTGCGAATTTGAGAGTTTCATCCGTCCAAGGGATACATCATTTTTTATATTGATATGCATTAGATTTGTCACCGAGAACGACTCTTGTCATTGAGAAAGCCATCCGTCGGTCGCAGCGTTGCCCCGGACTTCGCTTCGACGGCGTCGGCCTTATAGCGGAACAAAGTCCGCCCGGGGGCAGCGACGATCGTTTAACCGAACTAGATATCGAGATCATATAAAGCAGGATAGCACTGTGCAATGGAAGACCCTTGCGTCGCTGGTTTCTAGAGATGGAGAATTGGATCATGGGGGATCACTCACCTCCGGTGTCCTACCCTGGTGGGATGGTGAAGGGATTCTGAACAGCATAACAGCCCGTGAAGCGAGAAAGAAGATCGCGGAGTGACTTTGTTTATTGGTGGAGATGCATTAGAATTGGTTTGTATACTCACGCATTGGACAGGACAAGTGATGTGTTTGGACACGGTTAAATTTCGCTGTCGTTTGGAAGGCCAGACATCATTGATGGAATACCCTGCACGTCGTGGCTCGCGCAAGAGATAAACCCTATCAACGTCTCAACGATGTCGAGCTGCTAACAAATGAGATATCAACTAAACTCCCTTGGTTGATACGATACATGCGCCACACTCCATCCACAATAGCCTAGTCTCGTCCAACGAGTGATAATCCAAGATCCACCTGCACAGATACTTGGGATGAAAGCCGAATTCACCCCCCGGGAGTCAGTGCATACAGGGAGAGAGAGAGAAGCAGATAAAAGTGGCGGTCTTTCACGAGATAGCACATAGAGAGGGCTCATCGTATGAGTTGCACTCAACTACGAATGACTTGATTTTTTTTTGGCAACTTACCCGCGCCTGTTTGAATCCCCCCACTCGCAGGATTTCGAGTTATTTTCATCCCTAAGGGTTCCAATGCCGTCGTATTGGGTTAGGGTGTCAAATAGGAAGGTGGCTAAAAAAAAATCATTCACGTCTTGGCAAGTCTTAATTACTATAGATTCGCAGTTTCCCCCCTCCTCTTTCAAACTCCACAGTGCTGCTTCTGGGCTAGGGACCACCCTTCAGTAGCACGTCTCCCCCTCGAGCCCCCTGTCTTCTAGACATGGCTCTTTCGCCGGTCACCCCGTTTCCACTCTTTTGGGACGGGGGCCGGCGAAGCTACGGTTGGAGTGATTGGTGGTGGGTTAGGGTTTCTTGTTCATAATAGTTTTTAGTTTTTTGTTTCATTTTTTGTAATCAGGGTTTGGTAGTTGAATTCAACCATGGGGATAAAAACGCCCTGTTTTGTAGCTCTATATAAGTGACAGAAAGAATCAAAACTTTCCTAGTTGACTGTAATGTAGGACAAGTTCCATCAGATTAGAACCCCCGAAAACGCGAGCCTCAAAAAATAAGGAGAAACGAGTCCCGACATAGCTAGAACTAGATTGGCGGTGGACAGGTTAAGAACATATGCGATCACTCGTTTCCCCGAAAGGTCACGAGACTAGATTTGTCTTATTTTGTATTGCCACAGACCTAGCTATGTAGTAATTGTATTATCTCGTAAGTTAAAGCAAGGTCTCGAGACTTCTAGCTTTGTATATCTTATCATTAGACCGTACCATCACTGCCCAGGTCGTAGGAATGTATCGGTATGATGCACAGTAATTGCGGAGACCAGTTACCATGGGGCAAAAACCTCACTCCCAGCCTACGCAATTCGTTTTCCATGTTCCGGATGCCCCCATATGGATATTGATAACCTCTAAACTAGTGAAAATATGCACATGCGAAATTTCAACAAAAACTTATGAACATCCGCTCTGATTAAAACGCACAGGATTAAACAATACAGCGTCATAAAAGTGACAACCAAACAAAATGCAAAAAAAAAAGGAATGCGCTACATGTAACCATCTATCATCTATGCCTGCCGCAATCACTAAAATCTCAACCTAATAATCGAGAAGAGCATATTCTGCAACACATGCACCATCACCGCTCTACCCCATCCACGCATATATCAGCACACACATCCACCACTGAAAAAACCGAGTGCAAGAAAGGGAAAACTCACAGACAAGCCGGCACCAATTCCGGATACTTGATAAAGTCGCCGACGGCCTCTGCGGTCACGTCGAACTTGAACCAATACCGGACGAGCCGTCTCACGATCCACGCCGCAAGCATCTCGCACGCCCATGTCGCCAGGGACGCAAAGAACGTCAGCTCGAACGTATATGGATCCTCGCGATCACTGAACGAGAAATACGGATACACCTACACCCCCCCGTTAATTCATCAGCGAGTGATCCCCCATGACGCACAAAACGAAAAGAAACCCACCTTCGTATTCCATCCGTAATGTAATCCCACCACCCAACCCAGCCACGCCACCATACTCACGTTCTCCGCCAACCCCCTCACATAAAAATACCTGCCCACAAACTTCTTATACTCGCCATAGTCTTGCGCGTTCCATCCTGCCCACACATACGCGCTATGCACGGCCCTCGTCATACTCAGTGGTAGCCACACCACAACCACACTCGAGCTCAATATCTGTAATACCACGAATTGGCTTGGACTGCGCAGGCGCGCATACAGCGCGCGCACATACGTCTGGTACGTCATCGCAAAATAGAGCTTAAACACCCACGCGAGCGGATAACTGCCCACGCGGGCACCTAGAATCCACCCGGTGGTTCCATCGAGGATATTTATCGTGAGGACCCACGACCAGACATAGACGACAGTTTCGAGGGAGTTGTGAGGGAGGGTGCGGAGGTAGACTTCGGCGTATGCTTCGCCGAGAACGAGAGCAATGAGGGAGAGGAGGAGGGCGCTGCCGAACCAGATGAAGCGGATGTAGGATGTGGGGAGGGACCAGGGGTGGATGTGGGAGCGCCAGGTCTTGGGGTGGGGGTCGAGGCGCTGCATGGTGGTTGGGGAGGTGGTGAAGAGGAGTTGGGTGTCGGAGAGTGCGCTGCGGCGGCCGAGGTGGCCGGAGCGCCGCTCGAGGAGAAGGACGAAGAACGAGATGATGAGCGGGCTGAGCATAGTGGTGAAGGTGAGGAGAATCCATGTGAGGTTGTGGTTGAGGATCGGCGCAGGGAGGAGGTAGTACATTGGGACTGACACAAGCAGCGGGAGCAGGTTGAAGAGTGTGAAGGCGTGCGGAAAGCCGAGGCGCGCAGGCCACCAGTTGAGCGAGTAGAGGTTGAAGAGCTTGGTGATCCAGAGGAGCCCAACTAGGTTGTAGAAGCCATAGTAGACGGTGAGAAAGAACCAGAAGTTGAGAGTAACGAGTGCTTCACCGTGACCGCTGCCTCCTCCTCCGCCAGTGCCCGGGTTTGGGCGCTCTGGATCCGGGAGTGGGATCTGCGGGACTGTGTCGCTGAGTCGGTGCAGGAACGAGGCTATCATATCCCGTATCACTGATATATTAAAAACATTCTTGACCGCCTGCCACAGCAATCCCAATACCGATATCGGGCCCTCAATAGTAGTATGGGGGTAATGATCATATTGCGGCTGTACCGGCAACGCCGACGGATCATTCCCCATGATCGGATACGTCGGAAATGGTATCGCACACCACGCAACGACCTACACCCGCATCAGCGCCGCAAACAAACCTAAGCCCTCGCGCTATCAAATCTACTCACAATCGCCGCCGGCAGCACCACCAGCAGCCCCATCCTACTCCACCACCTCCCCACGATCCTCACCACTACGCGCCGGCGCGGACTAATAAGCATCCTATCGATCCACCATCTCATCTCCTCCGCCTCCGCGTCCTCGTCGTCGACGTCGTCATCCTCGTCCTCGGCGGCATTAATGCTGCCATACCCGCCGGCGGTCCACCGCTTGGGGTCCGCGCTGCTGGTCGGCGCAAGGACGGTGTAGAGGTTACTTGGGAGCGCGCGGAAGCGCCCGTAGCGGAAAGTCTCGGTTTCTGGTGGGGGCGAGTCGGTGCCTTGCTGGAAGTCGAAGAAAGTTGGCATGGCTTTGGGGGCGTGACGGGCATGAAGGAGGAGGAGGAGGATAGGAGGGAAAAAGGGGAAGAGGACTCTCTCTCTCTCTCTCTCTCTCTAGTCAGACAGAGTGGGAATCAGACGGAATGGGGTGGGGGCGCAGAAGATGAGTGAGGGCGGCGGCGGCGGAGGCGCCTCAGGTGGGACAAAAGCTAAGATGAGGGGGATCTCAGGCACTGACGCAAGAACTAGCTATAAGCCACAGGAGAGACATGGAGAGCAGTATGTAGAGGAGAATATCTAGAGTAGATAGTTTATTTTGTCTTACTAGGCACATATAGAGAGCTCGCTCGCACCCCCGAAAGTGATATCTGTGCAGTTTTGGGCGAGGCTTTGATCCACAAGGTGTCCGTGACCACAAACGGCGCATCGGATGACGGTGGTGGGGACATTTTGTTGTTTACATGCAGGTGGCCCTGGCACTTGTGTTAGCCCCGGGCCCCTGCACGCTATCGTACATAAACTGCAGCAGACCCCTCACCGGTTCCACTCTCCTTCCCCCGCAATCGGATGGACATTCGGATCAGGGTCCTCGAGAGACGGGGGAGGAGAGCAATAGGATATGAGCTGTCAGTTGAATGATATCATGTCCCCGACCTAACCTCCCACCGCGCGGTGGCCCGTAGTGAATGCGGGCGTGTGTGATGGATGAATGGAAACTGTTGAGGTTGGAACGACCTTACGTTTTGGGCTGCACTAGCTAAACAGGCGGGTGTGGTGCTGCTCGAGTGGCTTGATTGGCTCAGAGACGGAGAGCATCAAAACATCTTGAACCCCAGTATTTAGTAAATAGTTGGAGATAAATGGGCGGCGATATGGGAAAACAGGCTTACGAGACAACGGGTGTCATTATAAAAACCCCAACAGCAACAATGGGAATCTCTTGATACCCATAAGCTGAATATTTGATTCTGAGGCCTTCCCCAAAACATATCAATTCCGAATAGCAAAAAATCCAAACAATTGGCTGCAAAAGCTTTTCCGGATGGCCGTCCAAATAGTTGTGACCGTTACTGGCTGCTCTCTCTACCCACTTGATGCTCCCTCTCGACGGACGGATGCAAACGTGAATAACTGTAGCTGAACCAATGGAGTTATGATGATGATGATGGCAGTTATGTATGTACTGCAGCTATGCACAAGAAGTAGCGAGGTTATGATCCTATCACTGTTTCTGGCCACGTAAAGTAGCTCTGACCGCCTTTGACTACGCTTCCATCTTAACCCGATGAGTCATCGTTGATATCAACTCAAGCAGCAGGTGTCTAACAAGCTCTGGCCATCGAGGTTAGCGCGTCCCCAGCAGACTGGCTACAGTATTGAAGGGTTGAGATAGCTCTCTCCTCCCAGCCCAGTCAGCTTCGTTAATCTCAGCTATTTACATATCAGATCAGCTATCTCAGCTATCTCAGCTATCTCAGCTATCTCAGCTATCTCAGTTGTTTCAGCTATCTCAGCTACAAATGTGTTACCTGAATTACATATGTAAATACATACTGTACCTATAATCCGCTACTAAACATCACCTCGGCTCCCATCCCCTGCGCACATCATGCACAATAATCACTAGCTGCCGACAACCACCGGCGAAAGCCTATGTATGTACGTCTAGCTAGCTAAATATATCGATACGAGCCTTACCAATGAGTCATTGAAATTAGAGTATCTTCAGCTATACCCTAATTGCTAGATCTTCCCCCACATATATACAAGCACTCTCCACTGTCTCAAAATTTCCCGTATCTAATTCCCTACAAATCGATCATTACCACTCTCACCATGTCCGCAATCGTGTCTTCCCGTGACCCCAATGCCGAATACCTGCTCATCGGCGCATACATTCGCTACTCCAGTAAGCAGGACCAAATACTAAAACCTAAAACCCACAATTGACCTAGGTGTGTAGGCTGGACCGCCCGCATTGTGGCCATTCTCGAGCACTTCAAGATCCCGTACCGCTTCTCGCAATATAACAAGGCCGACCCCAATGGCCTCCAAACTGTACATTTCTCTTCTCCCAATACCCATCTGTGATTGCAAGGTGTTTCCAGATTCGAACGGGCCTATAAAACTAGAGAGAATCCCACAACAGGATCATCAAACTTTATAGACCCAATCGTATCCAGAAACATCCTCCAGTCACGAGTGGTAACCCCAATACTCACAGCACTGACATCCCCCTAGATCCACTCCCAACCCGCTCGCCTCGTCCCCACACTCACCGTTCCCTCACTCGGTCCCAACCCAATCCACGACTCCCTCGCAATAACCGAGTTCCTCGCCGAATCACACCCCACCCTCCCGCTCTGGCCCGCCTCCCGCCGCCTCCGCGCCCTCGCCCGCAGTCTTGTGGCAGAGTTCCACTCCGGCTTCGGCAACCTGCGTAACAACTACCACACAAACTACGTCGCGCGCTACGTTGGAGACGTGCCGATGATCCCTGGTGCGGTCAAGGAGGTCGCGCGCTTCCTGGAGTGCGTGGATCTAGCGCGGAGGGAGACGCTGGAAGTGGAGGTTGAGGGGCCGTATTTGTTTGGGAGCTTTGGGGCCGCGGATGCGTTTTATTGGCCAGTGCTTTGGGTTTGTTTACCTTTGTTACGTTTATGAATGTGGTGGGTTATAGTTGTTAATTGCTGTGCTGGTGTAGAGGTTACGTACGTACGGCTTTGATCTGAGCGCTGCGTCGCCGTTGGCGAGGGAGTGGATTGTGACCATGTGGAAGGACCCGGTGTTGGTGGAGTTGGGGAGACAGATGTTTGTTGATGCGGAGAACCCGGAGACGAGGGTGCCAGAGTATGAGGGTATTTTTCCGGGGAAGGCGGAGATGGTGAGATTTGATGATGGAGTGGCGTATGTTCCGAGCTTCGAGTGATGGACTGTGAGTGATCGAGTGAGTAACTATGTTGATAGTTGGTTGCGGTGGATGTAAAGAGATGACGAGCATAATTATCTGGAGATATATGTAGAGTATGGTAACTCTAGTCTGGTGGCGTGATTTGTCGAGAGTAGGTTGGTCCCTTTTTGTTGGTTGATGATTGAGGTATGCCCTCAAGATGATATCTTATTGCAACTATCCACATGCACACAGCAAGCAATTGTGTCTTGTGCATACGCACATATATTGAAATACCCTAGAGTGAATAACATCTCACTGATATGGTAGGGGTATTCCGGTTGAGTTAAATGCCGACCAGGACGTGGAAAATCTTAAAGATTGCATGTCTTCGCGCGGCCGTTGATTTTTTTTAGATACAAGTATATCTCTGCTTGCGTTAATAATATTATCCACATACAGCGAGTGATGTGCCTTGCAGAAGTAAGGGGTATTCTGGAAGCGGTTATGGCGCTCTAATTTGGGTGCCGGTCTGATCAAATAAAGGGCGTTGATGACTGGACTGAGTAGATTGGGACGGTTGGGTCAGTCCTTATCGATAATGGGATATTTGATGAAAGCTTGGTTTCTCGGTATGGCAAACGTCATGTTAAGGGTGTATTTGTGACATGTGTGATAAGAACGAAGAAAGAATGTGCGAGGGCAAGTATAAACGCTAAACCCCCAACCTCAATCCATACACTGGCACATAAGGACACTGCTTGATCTTGGATAAAAGCTCAAGCCACCGCGGGAATCGAATGTCAAGCTTCGATCAAGTGTAAGGTTATCACTGAAGCTAACGAAGTAATCAATCAATCAATCAAATCACTCTTGATCTGACTTACACTCCCAGATCCATCGGAATCAACCACGGCACCTCAACATTCTGAGGAGCACTGACTACCGCATACCCCAGGATCGTCTGATTTGGCGTAATATTTCTTTGTATGTGTGCTTCGATTGTGAATGTGTGCTTGCATAATACTGGAGCACTGGTTCCCGTATTCGGCGATTAGGGACATGGATTAGCATGGCACAGCACCTAACAACGAGCTTCGTACAAACCAGCATTGCCTCAAAGAGCAGCATTCCCTTCACAGATAACCTACCTACCGGCCCTCCTCCACGCCTCACTCTCGCCAATCCCAGAACCCAGGTACGTAAGGCCAGCTCTAAAAATAATGAAAACGCATGCTTGGCGTACATCCGCTCGGTGAAACGTGAAACTTGAAACAAGCAAAAAAACCAAACCCTAAACCCACAGCCTCCTCCTCCCCCCCCCAATAGTAACTATAAACCTCTGACACTCCAGTGCGACAGACAGGCTAGACAAGCAAATAACCAACTTTCATCATCATTATCATCAGCAACAATGGGTGGTAGTAGTATCCGAGAAGGAAAACATGGCTCCTCTATCCGTTCGTTTTTCGGCAACTTCGGTAGCAACAAAAACAACAAGTCATCTTTGAACGTGTCGGCACCGATGCGCCCATCGACTGGTTTGGCCCCGCCCGGGCCGCAATATCCGCCCGGGAGAGCTTCAGACGTGGGAATTAGGCCGTCGATACAGCAGTCATTTGACTCCGGGAGGGGCACGAGCTTTGAGAATCCGAGGACGAGCCCGTTGAGGTATCAGCAGCCACCGCCGCCTCCAGTGGCGATTATGGAGCGGCCTATAGCTAAGAAGCCAAAGCTGATTATCGGGATTGATTTTGTGAGTTTGCTGGCAGGCTGGGTTTGGTTGGTTGGTTGCTGGGTTGGTTGGAAGCTTTGCTGATTGGGTTGTTTATTGGCTTGGGTTAGGGCACGACATTTAGCGGTGTCGCGTTTGCGTTTACAACAGACGGAGGTGTAAAAGAGGGCATTATCACCGAATGGCCCGGAGCGGGTAATCAGTCGAGGAATAAGGTTCTTTTTTACATTCATTTTGTCTTGCCAGTAGTTCTGGACAGCTCTAATATTCCACCTCATTTAGGTACCCACTACACTTTACTATGACAAAGAACAAAACATAGTAGGCTGGGGGCTGGAATTTGCAGGAGCCTTAGCCCCTAGTGGATATCCAAAACCAGGCGTTCAGAAGGTCAGTTATTCCGTGTTTTTTGCTTTGGTCTTAATTATACTCATGTTCAAAGCATTGGGTCACTAAGATATAGCCTCGAGCTCTACACAGATTGAATGGTTCAAGATGCAACTCATGCAGGCTGACGGCACCTACTTGAAGAACGACAAACTTCCAGCTCTTCCGTCCGGCAAAACACCTATCGATGTTACTGCAGATTATCTCATCCAACTTCGTAAAGCCTTACGAGTCCAGCTCCAAAAGATTTTAGGCGAGGCTGTTTACAACCGCCACGAAGACAGCATCCACTACTACCTTACAGTCCCAGCGATTTGGAATGACGCCGGAAAAGCGGCCACGAAGCGGGCTGCTATACAAGCGGGGCTTGTGAGAGCTGAGAGCGACTCTAGAGTTACCCTTATTTCAGAACCAGAAGCGGCGGCAATGTTTTGTTCAAAAACAGGGCTGCTGAATTTGAAGATACTGGACGCGGTCTTGGTAGTGGATTGTGGAGGCGGGACGGTCGACTTAATTGCGTACGAAGTTACACAGGAGGAGCCGTTGACGCTGGTTGAGGCCACGACGGGATCGGGTGACTCGTGCGGGTCCACTGCTGTGAATAGGAATTTCTCGGGGTTACTTCGGCGTAGAATTGATTTAATGAAGCTCCCGCCTGGGACGAAAACGGGCCCAAAGATTTACGCAAAGTGTCTTTCTGAGTTTGAAAACCGTATCAAGGCGGACTTTAGAAATAATGGGCAGGTCTGGGCTATTGATATTGGGGTGGAGACGGACTATCCGGAGGCTGGCGTGGAAGAGGGATATATGTCATTCACAGACGCGGAGATATTGGAGTGTTATAAACCAGTCGTTCACCGGATACTGGAGCTCGTGAAGAACCAGATAACGGCAATTCAGACGCAGAATCGCCATTTGCAGGTAAGGAAGACTGTTTACCCTGCATATAACAGCATTTCTTGTGGACGCTGCTGATTCACGGGCTATTATCAGAATGTATTAGTTGTAGGGGGCTTCGGCGGGTCCGAGTTCCTCTTCCAGGAGATCAAGGACAATGTGCCACAGCAGTATCAGCATGGTGTCGTACGGCCTATGGACGCAGTTGCAGCAGTGGTGAAAGGAGCTGTTACCGCCGGTGTAAGCCAGAGTTTAGTGACAGCTCGGGTCGCGCGAAGACACTATCTCATGGCAACTCTGACACCATTTAAGACCGGGTACCACAAAGAAGAGTATCGGGTCCCTAGCTTAGATGGTAATGACCGATGTAAATTTACACGGCATGTATTCGTTAGTAAGGGACAGCGTATAACGATCGGGGAGCCCGTGAAAATTTCATTTTTTAGGCAGGTAGCGGCAGGTTCATCACTTACTTATAGCGACATATTGTATGTGTGTGATATGGAGAACTGTCCAGAATATATAACAGATTCAGGTTTGTCTCACCATCCTTCATCTTCACTTCTATGGCTAAATTTTAGAATAGGCATTAGACCATTGGTAACATTAACATCCGACCTCTCGCGCAAATCTCTAGAGCGCGATTTCCAAACGGTGGCAACACCACAAGGAATCTTCTATAAAGTCTACTTCGATATATACCTGACACTTGATGGATCTGAGTTTAGTGCTGAGGTGGTCTGCCAGGGTGAAATCATGGGGGCGTGCCAGGTTAAGTTTGAATGATGCTCTAATACCGTTGCCTCTAAGACTCATTTTTGTCTTTCTTGTATTTACTTAATCGATAGTTATTATTGGAGAGGATAAATTTGAACGAAATTATGAATGTCTTTATATGCAGGGGGGCTTGTTCTTTGAAGCTGATGTTAGCGGATCTGGTATGGCGGTCTACTAATATGGCTCGATTTGGATTAGCTCGTTAGTATTACCACACTATTCGCCTTAGACACTAGCTAAGCGTTGGGCCTCACTTTATAACAGGGACGACGGCGGCAAAGACAATTCATGGTATCTGAAAAGTGGATAATATTATGGATGTTTTCATGGTAGCCTTTTTAAAATTCCTCCTGATTTCTTGCATGCTGAAAAGAAGGCCTGGGATAATATATTATGGAGGGTGACCCGCAAGCTCAAATTTGGCGGACTTGTAGCTTTTATGCAACTCCTGTTGGGGCTTGACAGAACACAATCACGGTCTACAAGCACGATATGTAATCTGAGGGCATGATTCAGCTTTGCTTGAGGTGTCCCACAACGGTACCAGCACATACACAGACCCTTCCTTGGTTATAGGCATAACTACAATAGTGTAGTAGTAACTGCAACAAGCCACAAGACCTGCTATCAGCTTCGAAGAGCATCCGTAGAGCCTTATGTATGAAATCGGGTGAGTCATGAAATATCACTCTCATCGGCCTGATTTCAGCAGGGAGGAATTTCCCGAAAACTATTTGTGAGCAATGCGTCATAGGGGTGTGGATATTCCCGGGAAAGGGAAAGTTGGCCTTTTGGACTACGGAATGACCCATAGATTTTAAACTCAAGGCTTTCCGAGGGGAGCTAGGGCTTCGCTGGTGGTGGGACATTTATTTACCAAGACCATAGTGGGCATGAGTGGTCGTGGGATCTGTTATATAATTATTTTCTCGCCTAGGACAACATAAAATTCTCTTTAGTTCTATACGGACCACTGTTTTCGTTGCTCGGAACTTGGGCCCATCGCATCATGGGCGCTCTTTTGTGGGGTGACGGTACATTCATAGATCATCACTCGTATTATGAAGACGCTCTATAAATCGTCCAAACAAACTAGATTTTGAGGGTACAAATGGTGGATTAGTAGCCAAAATGAAGGAGTAATCAAGATACGAAGGTTTCTGTTTATTAAAGGCGGGTCCTGGAGTTAAGTACTTGCTCTTCTATGTATTTCTCAACGAATGTTCTGAAGGACTTCCAGCTCAGCCCAAAGTCTGAAGGGGGAGGATAATACTGAAGACGTTGCTCCAAAGATTTACGCTGAACTGGGTTGTGTATTTTGCCCTCTTTGTTCTGCAACAAGTCAACTATATCCCGTCTTCAAAATAGCAAATAACCTTGGGGGAAGGAAAACTGGAACACACAAGAACCCTCTTGCCGTAGAGCCGGAAACTTGAATTCCCAACCACTTCTCGTATCGATTGAGGTGCTGAATGCGCATGGAATTGTGTGAGAAGGCTGCACTCACATTCCTAGGTGGTAGTCATGTACGTAGCTGATAGAGAGATACACGTTTCATCATCATCACGCAGTGGTCTCCGTAAAGTCACACCTTGCTCTTTCCAGGGAACGGATGGATGTGTAGCTCAAGCTTGGGACTTTTCGTGACTCTTATTCAGTAGGCGCTGACATATAGTTGCCGAATATTTACGAGCATTGAGGTATAATCCTAAGAAAGGTAGGAACAGTATTAAAGAATGATTGCAGCGGGCGGTTGTGGTTGATGGTGATGGTAATGGCGGTGTTTGATCAGTTATGTTTGTTTTCTGCAGTCTTCGCTATATACTTGTTATTATATAGTACTGTGTCAAGATAACGAGCTTAGTTGTCTTAATAATACGTGCTTTGTTATAATGTCTTTGTTCACTATAAAAGGAGCTTATTCCTTCTACTCTTCCAATAACAATATACAATACGCTTCCCTTCAGTCTCTTATAAACTGCGCTCTGAATAACAAGTCATAAGTGAACCATGAGGTTAAATTTGACTTTTCATAGACAGTGGGCTTCCAAGTCCCACCAATACCTCATGTTATGGAATCTCAACTGGCCAATAAAACACTTCATGGCCAGTCACTACATGAATAAAGATCATAACCTCCCGTAACAAACTTTCCACGATCGTACGAATAACAGAGACAGATCACCCAGTCACGACAGAAAGCTTTCACCTCCCAGGAGAACTTAACTGGGTCCTATTTCTGCCTCCCTGTCTAGCGAGCTAGCTCCCTGCGCGCCGGTCTTGATGTTTCCTCAGCTATCCAGGACTCAAAATCTAGCTGCAAAATATGTAGCCAAGGAGTACTGATACTCGTATGTGGATTGAACGCTAGGCTTCGTATGCAGGGAGCTCGTTCGACAGCGAAACTTAGTGACAGATCGCCAACAGTTTAGTTCTAACTGCTAGTAACTTCTACAAGAGAGGTAGTCTACGGAGAGAATTATGCTTATGGTCTACTTTAACTAAATGGCGCCCTTCGAGATCGGGCAGTACTTCAAGGTATCGAAACATCTGGATTGTAAGACAACGGACCCAAGTGACAGCAAGATGCAGCACGAGGCCTGGTGTAGCGGTATATCTGGAAGAATGATATACGCAGACATCGTAATCAACAGGCACCAAACGATATAGCTGCCGATGTCTGCTGGTAGTCATGTCACCCAAAGGGTGTTGTCGTGAGATGAATTTGTTTTTGCCTATCTCCCCACCGCACCACACGGCCGTGGTTGGTGATGGTAGATGTCGAAATCCCGAAAGCACAATACTTTTACTATGACAGCGTTAGTGGTGAGTGGTACTGTGAAAATCCTACAGCATGTTTGTCCACCCTTCCGTTCTGTTTTTGCCAAGTCCCGCTTTACATATACCTTCAAAATGGTGGAAGAAACACTGCCCGTACCTTGTAGAATAGACTGTTCTCATGCCGTCCTCAAGGCCCTGACATGCCTGCCTCTCGACTCAGTGGATGAAGCCATGGGAAGGCTCACATACTCAAATCAGGCTCCTGCCATCAGACAATTAAAGCACATTGGCGGCGTGATATAGGGCGACACTCTACCCTATTGCCCATTCATACCTCCTCCTCATCCTCCCTCCAGCCAGCCACCAAGCCACCAAACCTCCCGACATCCGCTATAAACAATCACACCCCGAGATCCGGACCGCAGATACCTCACCCCTGCATATATACGTCACTTCTCGCGCCTATTGTCCCTGATGCCGGCGCATCCCCTGGCCGTCGCCGTATTTCCCGGGGAAGACTGGATGTAGACGCGGGGTGGAAAATTGATCAGGGACAGAATATTTTCCTGTGCGTTAGTTACTCTAGTTAGTTGGGAGGATGGGAGCCTTTGATTGGTGACTCCACTGGCTGCAGGGGAGATATTTGGTTAAGAGTCGGAGTCCGGCGCCAGGGCAAGGATGGATGTGGAGAAGCAATGGTCTCATCTACTCTCTACATATCCAGATCACGCCGGTAGAATGGATAAATCAAATTCCCTAGAGTATGTGGGTAATGCAGTAGGCCTGTGGTCTCGTTCCCAGGGCACGAGACTCATGTGCTTTAGATGCAATGTTCTAAATGCAGTTATTTGCTACCACTCCAGAGCAGAGAAACATCCAAGAGCTGCAGACGTTGCCAAGCAGGAGAAACATTTTTGCGGGCTGTCGCACAGCGCCATGACGAGCATATCCGTCGGCGCGGCAGAGGCGGCGCCACAAAAGCCACTGAACCAAAGCGCTGGGTGTGAGACATGTATTACATGTATATTTCCCCGAAGAGCTTGGGTTGATGTTGGTTTTACTTCTATCGGACATTGGGCGCTCAGTGAATCGAGAGCTGAAGGCGAGGAGGGCCAATTAGAAATGTATGTACTGCTTGATACAAAAGGCTTTAATTTGCTTTGGATTTGAAGAACATACTTTGTAGCTGAACCGCCCTGGCCTGGGTGTGTTTCTCTCCCCACAGGCAGGTTAGTTAGTAGCCACACGAATATTTCTGAAGAATTTGAGCCTGAGGAATAATACCCTCTGCAACTAATGTGGGTTCACCGTTTCCCCCCCCCTCCCCCCCTTGCTTAATATCGATATATTAGACTAAGGTACAAGCACTCATGGCTAGGCCAGTCACGGCGGGGCCAAGCGGCCGGCCGGAACATTTGTCACGGCCGGCTTCGTGATGCTCGCTCGCCCTTTGGTAGAGAGAGAGCTAAGCCTACGAACCCTCAACATCCCTCCCATGCATATGTCCCATGGATAAAACGCAACTGCTGCTCCCTGCGCAATCCCCGCACTCGGCTATTGGGGGAGATCTCCGGTTTGGGGAAAACACAACCTCTTGCGCCGGGCTCCCCTGTCGCTGTCGGGTCCCACACGTACCTGGATGGAGTGCCTGTTGTACCTGAACCCCACATCGCCCCAGCTTTTAATTGGGCTCGGGGGAAGATCTGCAGTGAAAATATCCTCATGGGAGAGCTATTTGATCTATTCTCTCTCATCCCATGGGTCAGCTGGAATTAAAGACTTCCTCGCCTGACGAGCGTTTCCTTGAAACTCCGGCCGAGCGGTGTCACTTCCCCCCCCCATGATGCCGGCGGAACCTAGGTAGAGAGAGGTACGTAGGCCTGTAGGTGGTTTGTGCTTCATGAGGACATGTAGTGATTCTCGTAAAGTGCATTCTCGTGAAGGAGTTTGGGTATATATACTTCGTCTTTCCCCTGTGGACAAAGACACTCACTCACCACCAGCTCCACCAGCTTCCTCACAGTCGGTATATAAGCAGTCATCAAACAGCACTCGGCACAATGAGATTCACTATCTATCAGGCCATTGGCCTTCTGTCTTTGGTCTCGGTTTCGCTCTCGCGATCCCTCCCCGAGAAGCGCCAGACCAGTGTAGCCGCGTGGGTCTCAGCTGAGCAGACCATTGCTTTGTCCAGTCTCTTCCGCAACATTGGATCCTCTGGAGAGTTTGCAAAGAGCGCTGACCCTGGTGCCGTCATTGCTTCTCCCTCAACGAGCAGCCCTGACTAGTAAGTACTCTTACTTCTCGACCAAGTTTCATATCAAAGTTATACTGACATGTCAATAGCTACTACCAATGGACTCGTGACTCCGCAATGGTGTTCAAGGTTCTCCTCAACCAGTACATCAATGGAAACAGCTCCCTCGAGACCATGCTCAAGGAGTATGCCACTGAGAGCGCAAAGGTCCAGAAGACCAGCAACCCCAGCGGTACCTACACCACCGGCGGTATCGGCGAGCCCAAATTCTACGTCAACGGCGCCGCCTTCACTGGCAGCTGGGGCCGCCCCCAACTCGACGGCCCAGCCATCCGAGCCACCGTCCTAACAAAGTTCGCCAACATGCTCCTCGACGCCGGCGAGACCTCCTATGTCACCTCAACCCTCTACGACAGCGCCTTCCCCACAAACTCCGTCGTCAAGGCTGATCTTGAGTACGTCGCAAACTACTGGACCAGCAGCGGCTTTGACCTCTGGGAGGAAGTCAACGGCAACCATTTCTTCACCTACCTCGTCCAGTACCGTGCTCTCGTTGAGGGCGCCGAGCTCGCAAACAGACTCGGCGACACTGGTGCCGGAACCTACTACACCACCCAGGCAGCCGCCATCAAGGCCAAGCTCTCCTCCTTCTGGAGCTCCAGCAAGGGCTACCTCCTCGCAACCCTCAACACCGGCCGTACCGGTCTCGACTGCGGGACCCTCCTGGGCTCTCTCCACGGCAATGGCGCAAGAGGCTTCGACGTCTACCCTGCGTCCTCCCCCGAGGTCCTCGCCACCGTCAAGGCCCTCGTCGACTCAATGAAGACCCTCTACACCATCAACACTGCCTCTGGCGCGCCCGGTGTCGCCATTGGCCGCTACCCCGAGGACGTCTATGACGGTGTTGGCACCAGCACTGCTAACCCTTGGTTCATCTGCACCCTCACCACCGCCGAGGTTCTCTACACGGCCGCCAAGCAATTCACCGCTGCGGGATCCATCCCCGTTACTTCAGTAAACCAGGCCTTCTTCCAGCAGCTCAAGTCATCAGCAAGCGCGGGTACAACATACGCCGCGGGCTCGACTGATTTCACCAGCATCATTGCGGCGATCAACACCTATGCGGATACCTTTGTGGCCACTGCGCAGCTGCACGCGGCGAGCAATGGTAGTTTGAGTGAGCAGTTCTCGCGTACCGATGGGTCGCAGAAGGGAGCCAGGGATTTGACGTGGAGTTATGCAAGTTTCTTGACTACTGCTGCGGCCAGGGCAGGAACCATTGCTTTCTAGACGATGAGTTCTGGATTTTAGTTTGTACCTTTATGCCGGAATGTCTTGGCTTTAGCTTGATAAGTGGTGGATTTGTATTTAGCGAAAAAAAAAAGTTTGTAGTGGCTTTGAATTGATATGGATTTGCAGTTTAAATGACAAGATTCGTAGTTTTCATCGAATAGTGTGACTGGGCATTAGGCTTTATTTTCGGAGTAGATACCAAACTTGACGAGTAGACTGATAATCTTTTGGCTACAGAGACATGATAGCTATTTATATTACAACTCCACCCGCCACACTTTGCTTTATCTTAGCTGTATTCTTGGCAGACAGAAAGCAAAGTTCCAGCAAGAGAGTTGTACTAAAAAAAACGTAGCTCATTGCGGCGATAGGCAACTTAGCCCAGTCAGACTGTGTACTCCGGCTACATGTGGTATATTCCAATAGAAAACCTACCTAACGTACTATATGCATAAATAATGAGCTCAGTCACCGTTCTCCAAGATTCCACTGTTGAGCGACATCTTTATGGTGCGCCCACTCTTAAAGGTAACCAAACGTGACGAAAGGTCAATCGCTTATAACTTCACCAAAAAAATATAGAAAAAATCGGTAAGATAAAAGTATAGTAATAGTGATGAACATGAGTTTTATCTTGCAGATTTTTGATATCTATCATGGTCACGAAGTTATAAGAGATTGAAATTGGCTGTTTTTTTGTATGTAAAAAGCGCCAAGACTGAACAAAGTGGAACAGTATTATACCCATTTATACCCCCCCCCCGAAAAGCAAACCTGACCGAGTTGTGGAAGTAATGGAGCAAAATGGCTAGAAATGAGCCCCCCAATTGGCCCACGAGTCCACTTCCAGATGCCGCCGTGTCATCACCTTTAAGAGTGTGCGCACCATACATGTTAACAAAACCCACCCAAGACCAGCATTTTTCAATAGCCTGTGTGTCAGAAAAGTTTGTGTAATGTTTAGATGTGGTTTTAGAATCCACGGTTTGCAATAATACGGTTTGATGTTTTGACGTCATGAGGTATCACTCGGTTCGGTTGCAAGAGGCCTAAATTGGATTTGTTTGTTGGGCACGCCATGTGATTGGCTGATAAGCGATCACTGATAGCTAGCGTGCAGGGTTCAGTACAGCCGCATTCGAAAAGTTTTGGCACCTCCGGGCTAAACTCACGAGGCAGTCCTTTCTACCTTTGCAATTCTAATATTCGAGACCGTTATCAGAGAGAGCTGCAATGTCTCTATTGCGGTCATACCTGTCAATAAGTTGAGTATACGCGAGTGCCATGGTTGTTGGTGGGCTACAATTCATGAACGACTCAAGATAGTAGTAGGGTGCCAGTACTTTTCGAATGCGGCTGTGTAAAAGTACACAAATATCTACAGCGTAAAATGCGCTTGTGTGTATCTTTCTCAGATCGTTTTGTGATCTCATTGAAATTCCTGAAAGCAACACTGTTTGATAGCTATTGTACACACTCTGAATATTGCAAACTCGACTCGTGCAGCGGATCTTCAAGATTGATAAGCGCTGCTGTGCCGCCTGTTGGATGCCTGAATTCTGGTAAACAATGTCGTTAAACTTCATATCTTATGTTGGGTCATCCTTAGTATATACATGTAGGTTTCATACCTGCACCCTCCAACCCCCCACCCCCCACCCCTCCTCTTTTTGGTATTTATCTTCAAGCCTACCTCATTTGGGGAATTGGTACAGGTAGTCTTCCAGTATCGATCTACGATCTAATTATACTTTTTTAGTGTCAGGAAAAAGAGATACACCGGCCGATTATCTCAAATGAGGAGAATCCAGTACCCCGCAGGGTTAATCGTAAAGGTTAACCTATGGCCTAAGATCACTAGGCAACCACTTGCGGTTTATGGGCATAAACAAAGACCGTTTACAAATTCCCACCCTCGCGGAAATGGAGAGACGAGGTGTATATCCGCCCGATTTTCTCGGTCGTTACACCAAATATCAAGCGATATTCCCCAGATATCCTGGGAAGAAAAACTCGATGATTACCGGAGCATGTTAGGACGCTGCTGGAGGAAAGCATCAGATATCAAGCGGGATGAAGAAATTAAGGACATATCGACACTCGAAGAGATGTCAATGCTAGAACGAGAGTTTGAAAATATAACCAAGGGTCTTCTAAACGACTTAGAATTGCTTCCACCCATTCTAGATGTAAAAAAAGACGATAAAAAGTTCAAAGGAGCTTTACCACCAATTATGCTTCCCCGGATCAACGTGGGTGATGTTTTCAACGTGCTGAGCGGCAGTGCCGGTCTTCGTCCAATGGACGTGAACTTGCATGAATTTATGCTATTGCTGGATAGCAAGTTTGGACCCTATAAAGTTGTCAAGAAGCTTGTTAATCGCACACTATCACTGAGCTCGACCAAACCTGACTGGCTTTTTATCGACCCTTCTGAGGCATCGTTTTCAATCTATCGGGTTCTTACTGCATACCTTTTCTACACTTCTCTTACTCCACAAGATATTCGCGGCATTCTGTCAACTCCATCAGTTATTGACGGACTATCGGCGATAGATGATGCCTTAATTAAGGAGTACTTTTCCTTCCTATTGCTATATCTTGAGATGTGTGAGGCAGACGATGATCTACGTCAGAAGTACCCAACGACCAAGAAAGGGCTGAAAGAGGCGCTGATAATTCAGGAAGATTCGGAGGATTTTTTTGGCCGCCAGTCGAGAAGGGTTCTTATGGGTCGATTGAAGGATTGCTTGTTCCTTTACAACTTAAATGGCGGATTTTCTCCTGAAAAGCCTGTAACACACCTAAGTGGTCTTACTGGTGAACAGAAAGAGATTGTAGAGTTGGACCTCAATATTGGGGAGGTTCTTAAGATCAAGGCTTTTGCTGGGACTGGAAAGACCACGGTTTTGACTGAGTACGCGAAAGCTCGGTATGTACACGCATCTTGTATTCTGGATTGGTAATGATCAGATTGGAGAGCTTACTTGCCAAGACCTGAGGAGAAATGGCTATTTCTTACTTTCAACAATAGCGTCCAAAAAGATGCCGAAAAGAAATTCGGCCCAAATGTCGTTTGTATGCTGGCTTTACTTAAAGTGTATCTCGATTGTAGTATCTGACCATGGGGTTTAGGTCGGACCATTCACTCCCTGACCCGCAAAACGGTCCTCAGGATGCGGCCAAAGATAAAGGCTCCAACGAGCTCAGAAAATAACCTCGTCCGTGAAATCGTACAGATTCTGGACCTAGAAAACAAGGAAACTCTCAAGACAGCAATGCTTGACCCATCAAAAAAACTTCCTAGAGCATCAAAGGTGGCCAAAGTAATCAACGAGAACCTCCTTACATTCTTCACTTCGGCTGAGGTCGGAATTGATTATGCATCCTTGCACTGGATGATGGCTGATAAGCTGGGACTGAAGAAGGATGTTGTTCTAGAGTTGACACGGAGAGCTTGGGACGAACTACAAAAGCTTCAGGGGCCGTGCTTTCCTCATGATGGATACTTGAAGATGATGCATTTAGATGGAGTTGATAGTGAGAAAGAGGGCGTGAGGTGTAGAGCCGATGATTTAGCTTTTGGTCAGTTCGACGGGATCATGTTTGATGAGGCCCAAGTAAGCCACACAAATTTCTCTTTCGCGTAAAGCTTGCTAATAAAACTAGGACGCGGATTCAGTAATGGCAGAGATCATATTTAGACAACGCCCGTTCTCACGCACAATCGTTGTCGGCGACCCTAACCAGATGATTTACGAATTTAGAGGAACAAATAACGAATGTTTTGACGATAGCCTCTATCCAGCAACTTACAACAAGTCGTTAACATATTCATTCCGCTTTGGTCTGGGAATTGCTGCAGCCGCAGCACATTATCTACGGGCTATAGGTGAACCACTTACGATGAAAGCTATCGGGGATGTTGATGTACTCAAGACAGACTTCCCAAAGGTTATGGAGGAGGAGGTGGATCCTGCTATAGGTCATACAACCATATACAATCTACCGCCGGGTTTGTCTTCGGATGGCGGGAGTGGAAAACATGTAGTGATTTGCCGAAAAAATAGTTGTAAGCCTCACCTTACCCTGTAGATGGGGGCCTTTCTGACGGTTTGATATGTAGCCCTAGTTTCAGCCCTATTTTCGTACTGTCACTCGCACCCAGAGCACAGGGTGTACCTTAAAGTTCCAACTCACATGCAACCTCGCACTCTGTTTTCCTATCTTAAGAGTGCATACGAGTTAAAACAAGGGATTCCCGCAATTGCGGGGCCTCTTAGGGGACTTAGATCCATTGAAGCACTTATGGGAAAAGTCGGTTCCGAGTCTCCGATTAACACAGGCGCCTCAAAAAAATGCAAATTGCTTTTGGAAGAAGCGGAAGAAGAGCTGAAGGCCATCGATCCCAAAATAAGGTCGCTTTTGGAGGTAATGACGCGAAAGTATAAACTCAAACGCCAGGATCAGCGTCAAATACAACAACTTCTAAAAGGCAGTCTTACACCAAACATGGAAAATTTTCTCCAAGCCTTGGTTTCGAGGGACCTCGCACCACGAATGTTTCCTCCTGAGTTGAAGCTGGTGGCAGGGCTTGAGAGGCAAGACCTATTATCGGACCCTAGTTTCCTTGGTAAAATTGATTTTTGCACTGCAAGGATAGTAGATGATGCCGAGAATGCAGATATGATTCTGTGTACTGCGCATCAGGCGAAAGGACTGGAATGGGATAATGTTGTGATGGCAGACGACTTTGCTGCTCTCCATATACACAGACATAGTAGCGGGGTGGGGAGCTCCAACCTTGAAAGCGTTCGAATAATGTATGTGGCTAGTACTCGAGCCCGGAAAGAGCTTCACATGGGGCAGAAAACGGCGGCTCCAGCGGTTTCTGCATCTGGAAGTTACGGTTTCTTCTTAAGCCCAAAAAACGAAGTGTGTCCCAAATCTCATGATGGCGTGCGCGGGAAATCCAGCGAAGAAACCACGGACAATCCTGCCAACACATGTGGCCAATTGATAGGCTACAGAACGGTAATGCCGACGGCACGATTTGGGTCGAATCTGGTAATCCGGAAAACGGGGAATTTTCCCTTCGGTGATAGGGAAGATGTGATTGGATGTCACAAATGCGTTGTTGATCTTTACAAACCCGCTTTGCGCAGATTGGCAGACTCTTATGCCCAGTCCGAGTACGAAACAATCACAGAGTTAGAGAGACTTGTGGATATTCTGAAACAGGCTTTGGACGGCGATTCGAGTACAGAAAGTGTAATTGAGCGTGAGCCAATGAGTCAGAGGGGCGGCTGGCTTCGGAAGTTTGAGGACATGAACACTGCAGATGAGATAAGAGTTGGATCTTGGATGAGAAAGAATACGATATTTTCATGGGGAGTTTGGCCCCAACAGGCGCGTATGAGGAGGTCAAACTAGAATATCGAATTCTGGTAATTCTGGTTTCTATGGACTTTTAACACACTCCCCTCAGCTATTTATTGTAAATATTTCTGTCGGACATACCAATAATCATGAAGGTCAAATGCCGGAAGAGAAGAAGGAAGCCCGCCGCTGGGAGAAAGCTTTTAATCTATCTACATACTCCATTTACTCACGATGCTAGAGAGGTTTGTTTTTGGTCTTTTAGAATTTCTGCCAGATTTCATTATGATGAATCAAAGCGGTGCCGAAAGATCTTTGGACTACTATCCGAGATGCGATCAAAAGACCTCCTGATATTAATAGATACATGTACATATACTCGGGCAGGCAAGAAGAACCTGAAAATTCAAGCTGCAAGCAGGGGCTCAATTTCGTGTAGCTTTTCGCCAGCCGCGAATCAGAGGTCGTTACCATCAAAAGTCATTTTCAGATTCTTCTTACCTGCCCCGAGTATCAAGGTGCATTTATCGTTACATAATTAGTAGGAAGAGGAAAGGTTTAATCCTCGCCTAAAGGAGGCTAACCCAGCGGATGTGTTACTGTATCTATACTAGTACATTCTTTCTCTTTCCCCGCCAACCCCCCAATCAATAAAAGCAATTCATTCGCGTACAAGCAGATGTCACTGGTGGCGAGGGATTGAGTTGCTCTCTTCCGCAAAAAATCCAAAATCTTCAAACTACACGTATGTATACGTATGGCGGGACAAATCTTGGCAACGCTTTAGATCTAATTTACGTGCTAAGACGTGGAATCATGAATTATCACTCGACGTTTAGCCACTTACCACGCGCCCATTTCGAGACCTCCTCTCCAACAAGAAAGCGAACAGAAAATACCAGAAGGTAAAATTATCAACCCCCAAAGCTCCACAAACCCGTCAACAGATTGCTATGACGGAAAACAAGGCAATCTCCCCGCTTGTGGGACATACAGTCCTTCCCCCACAGATGAGCGATCCGCAAAGTTTAGCCCTCCTATGGAAATATGCCGGCAGTGTCCCGCTAAAACGCGAAAACGCCACAACTGCGGAGACACCCGTGAAGGTATTTTTGCCAACCCCTGACAGTATTGGGCAGTTCTTGTGCTGACAAGGGGGTTTGAAAGAGAAGGGCACCAAGACGTCGTGGGCCCATTGGCGCATTTCTATCCTACAGCACGTGCACTGGAGCGGTCTCAATACCACACCCACAAGTAGCACCACTTGCACCGCCGATGGGAAGAATACGGAATCGAGTTGAGCTCAGCGATGGATCTAAGCCCGTAAGCCCAGACATTCTCCCATATTAAGCCGAAAGAAAAGAAACTAACGTGAAATTCCCTCTTTCTGATAGAAAGCAATCAGTTCAGAAGACCTCGCCGAGCTGGAGCTCCAGGAAAGAGCCCTTACAGATATTCTAGCTCAGCGTATTCAGTGGGAAGAGGCTATGATAGAGAGGAATTACCAAAGCAGGGTCCTGTCGGCGAGGCATCTCGGCCCCCCAAGGAAGAATCTGAAACGTTCAAGAGGTGTGGAGGCGGCCCGCTTGACGACCCTGACTCAGGCGACTCAAATTGTGGCTAGAGAGGCCTATAACGGGATTCCGGAGGATGAGATTAGTCCTTATGCGAAGAGGGTTAGGTTTTACGAGTCCGATTAAGTTTCTTAAATTTACCCTTCATGATGAGATATTTACGAGCATAGGAAATTGGATAGAATGGTCTCATGCATATGTACCTACTTACATATATACTCATGTGTATTAGTAGTATCAGCTCCTGGATAAAATATTACCCATCACTGTCTTCTGTTACCTTGGTCCTTGTTAGTTAGTCTCAAATATTTAATTAACGTCTCAACGATATTACCTACTCGGAAATAGAGCCGATAGCGCATGAGTCTTCGGCAGATCTACCTCTACATGCACTTTATATAGCTTGCCAACTAACCAAGGTGTAGCTATCGAGTTGCCGTGCCCATGTGGATGCCTTACCCATTGTGTTTTAAGTGAAAGGGCCAATATTCTGCAAGGATTAAGAAAGGGAAGTGTCAATGATTAGAGAGGGGAGCCGAGGATCGTGCCATATCTATTATCAAACCAATGGCAGGGATTTTCGGATGCTGCCGGCTCTCGGGGAAAACATCTTACGAGGAAGCGACGAGGCAGATCTTGTGTGGTTGTTTTCCACGACTAGACTAAATAGAACTACTATCTTTGTGAATCGTCCTAAAGAAGTTTTCCCGCACGGAGGTTTCCAACGGAGATTTGTGTTTGATCCCGCTATTAATCGCAGCTTGACTGACTGTGTTCCTAGTGACCTTCTTATTTTTTTTAGGGGTGGGATGATAGTTACAATTAACATGTGTTCGCGTGCGCGTGTTGGGGATTTCTGCCGAGTCATTTCCTATGATGGCTAGCAGACGCCGCACCCATACAAGCACCTGTAGCACATATCCTCACGGGGGATGGCAAGGGCGCCAAAGAAGACTGCAACTGAGAGATGACTGAGTACATAGAAGAGTCCTCGAGTCCTCCTATACATGCGCTTCAGCACCCCATATGCATGTGTTTATGTATGCGTCCAGATACGCCACCCGTGGCTGGAGCGCATGGATATGAATTTGAGTAACTACATCGAGTACTCCATGTACATACAATGTACCTATGTCCTCGTTGTTCGAGCAGTAGCTCACTGACAAAACACGGCGAGAAGTCCTCATCGATGTCGAAATAAGCTTTTGCTTACTAGGATGAATATTGCTTAGGCCTGTGTCTTCATGTTAGTTTTCGGAGAATTAAGCGAGCTGTTGATGAGATGACGATGGGGCTGCCCAGACTGTGTTAGCTAAGGATGATATTTATATGTCCGTATCGGGGAGTCTCGGAGATTGAAGTGGGTCAGTTCTATGACTTCGAACCCCGTCCATATTTCATTCAGCCAAAAGTCATGATGAAGCTGTGAAAAGAAAAGATTTTTTTTCCCGTCTTTTCTTTGCCAGTAATATACTGACACCTTCAACTAGGTAAGACACTTCACGTGCTCGACAGAAAAAGAGATCACCACAATATCATCTGCAACCAAATCGGCGAGCTTCGAACTCTCTGCTCACAACTCGATACAACAGGGTATTCTTGCAATCAAAAGCCTTAAAAACCGGATAGTTTAAGTTGTCTAATCCGGTGGCTAACCCGGGACTATATTTAATAGATAGATATATGCATGCCATGTTCCGGAGATGTTTCATCGCCACGAGCGTACTCGCCAAACACTACGTCGGTGCTCGGGGGTTTCATGGCATGCAATCACTTAGGATTGGGCAATCGGAGGAATGATTAGAAAGGAGGGAAAAAACAATATACCCAACTGCGGGGTCGGGTTTGTCGATGGCCATGACCATGGGACATGGGCGCCCCCCCAAGCCATTTTCTTTCTTGTGGGGGCTCAGTTACGCCCCTCGGGCACATAAAACATCATTAAGGAGTGTCAAGTGCAGAATGCCTTGCTCTGGTCCAACGTTACACTGTACGGAAAATGCGGGTATATTGGCATCACATATATGAAGGTACATAGATGTCTGTAAGTACTACATTAGTAAAATGATGAACAAAGTGGTTAATTCAACTATCACATTCTTGCCTGAAGCTTAGTATTTTACTATTGCATTGGTTAAGTAGTTACGGCAAAATGTTCATCCATGCTCTAGAGGTGAGGGGGCGGCGGCACCTATCCCATAAACCGGGGTTTAAATTTGTAAACCATCAACGGATCCGTGCTGATGCGGAGATGGCGGAGGAAGTGGTGGTAGTGGTGGTGAAGGAGGTGGAGGTGGTGGAGGTGGATGGTATGATACGTCTAGCATTGTGCTATTAGGCTGGAGAGTTTATATGTAGACTAATTGTGTCAGGTGTAGTAACCACACTTCAACTTGATATCCAGGTATGGTGTCTATGTAGCCTATCCACTTTAGGATGGTGGCATAAGAGAAACACTCAAACATTCCTTAGCTCGGTCACTAGACCCCTCCTCTTCTTTTCCCTCTCCCCTCTCGTTTCCAACTCCATCCCCGCTCTCGCCCCCTTCGTTCACAACAAACGGAAAAGAAGATTGACATTCATGTATTTACGAGCCAGGGGAAGACTCTACTGAGCACATAATTGACGTACGTTAAGGGGCTAGCTCAATGTAGATGTACTGTAGATACCTAACCGAGAGGGGAATTGAAGTTATTCTACCGCATTGGGATGGTTAGTACTATTGAACCAAGAACGCCACACCACAAAGAAACAAGTTTCAGCGATCCGTGATAAGGCAGAGTGACCTTGTGTGAAGCAAGAGCTAGTGGGCTATGTTTCCATTTCAGGAAATATATCACTTCGTTGGAAGTAAACTTTAAAGTATATTTCTTCACTCTCCCCCGATACAATTGCAATCCAGAGAGTCTTGCGTTGCATATCTTGCATCTGTCTGCCCTGACTGTACTTACTACTATCGACCTCACCTCACCTATATTAAAACATTACATTTTCTGTCCTCCAATCTATCTATCTATCTCTATCTACCTACTCCATCTTGAAGACTTCTCCATCACACAATGCTTTCACTAAGGCTGCCTATTCGCAATCTTGCTGCTGCCACTAGCAGGAGATCTGTTATCATACCTACTACGCAGAAGCCTGCTGGGGATATCTCTTCTGTGTTTCCTTCACTTTCTGGCATAGCATCTGCCCCGCTTCAGCCACGGTTTGCGACGCTCAAGTCCAAATTCCTCAAAGGGAAGGAAGAGCAGTTGCAGGCTTCTTGGGACAGGTTGATCAAGGAACTCAAGCGAGAAGTTGAGCAAGTTGGCGAGTTGGGGACTAAGGTTTGCTATTCTTTTTCTTTTCTTTTTTTCTTTTTTTTTAGAGATGTTTGTTAATAGTGGAATAGATTATCCCAACTATTGAGTATAGAGATATCGCAAATGCATCCCCACTTGAGATTGCGGAGATCAAACGCCGCGGGACTGTGGTCATTCGCAATGTGATTCCTGAGGAGGAAGCTCTTCAGTTGAAGGCGGATCTCAAAGATTATATCCGTCAAAACCCAAAGGCAAAAGGTATATAATATAACACATCATTTCTTTAGTTTTTTTTTTTTTTGACGCAAACTAACAACCTTCTTTGTTTCTTCCACAGCCTTTCCTGCTGCCTCTCCGGCTGTCTATGAGCTTTATTGGTCACCCTCTCAAGTTCGCGCTCGCTCGCACCCGTCGCTCCTTAAGGCTCAAGAGTTCCTTATGTCATTGTGGCACAGCTCATCTTCCGCCACCCAGATTTCGGTCAAACATCCTCTCACCTATGCTGACCGGCTCCGTATCCGTCTTCCTGGTGATGCTGGGTTTGCGCTTGGCGCTCATGTCGATGGTGGCTCTTTGGAGCGCTGGGAAGACCCGGAGTACTCGGCGGTTTACAAGAAAATTCTTCAAGCCGATTGGGAGAACTACGATGCATATGATGCGCGCCACCGTGTTAATGCTACTATGGATCTCTACAACGGTGCCGGAAGTTGTGCCATGTTCCGCATGTGGCAAGGTTGGGTAAGCTCCTCAAACAGTACCCTTTGCACAACGCAGGTCCCTGATGACTAACATTTTAATATAGTTGAGTATGTCAAATACAGGCCCAAATGAAGGCACCCTCCTCGTCAACCCCCTGCTCAAGCACGCCACTGCTTACTTACTTCTCCGCCCCTTTTTTGCTCCATCTGCCGCCAACCCGGACTCTCTCTCCGGCTGGCATATCCCCGAGACCACCACCCCAGAATTCCCCGGCGCAGTTCCAGCTGCTTCTCAGGAATTTAACGACAAATGGCACCCCCACCTTAATCTCTCAAAGACCATGATCCATGTTCCCCGCGTTGCACCAGGTGACTTTGTTGCCTGGCACTGTGATACCATCCACTCCGTGGACCGCATCCACAAAGGCACTGGCGATAGCAGCGTCCTATACATTCCCGCTGTCCCGCTTTGCAAGACGAGCACTGAGTATGCGGTTCGCCAGCGTGACGCATTCTTGGCCGGTGTCCCGCCCCCAGATTTCCCTAGCGGCGACGGAGAGACCGGTGGTGGTATGGGAGGGCTCTCGGACGTTCTTGGAGACGAAGGAAGGAGAGCTATGGGTCTCGGAAACGATGGTTGGAGCTTGGAAGGGCTTGAGGGGGGCGAGAGAGATATCGTTGAGAGTTCCAACAAAATCATGGGTTGGAACTAAACGGATCGGGGGTTCTCACTGCATGCTGGCAGATTCTTTTCTTTCTGGGGTATCGTGGTTTCAAGTTCTTTTCCTTGAGGGTTCTATTTGTCAGGTTGCATTTTCTCTCTATTTCTTTCCGGGTTTTTTTTAGGTTTAGGTTCTGGTCTGGTCTGGTATATAAAGTTTTAGTTTGGGTAGCATGTTTCCCCCACAGCAGCAGCTAGTGTCTATAATGCCATAATGAATTTTAAATATCTTCTCACGCAATAAGTAAACACATCTTATTATTGGTTCTTTCAGGCTGCAGCAGTAAGCTCTCCCATTTTTCTTTCCGGATGCGTAAGTTAGTGATGGTACGTACAGTAGCTTGTTAACACATCTGTGAATTTACCATCGACACATTATATTTCATGCCCGAATATAGATCCAGGAGTAGAGAAATGATAGAGTCTATATGCATCAGGTTTAGGGTTAGATAGGCTGGTACTCACGGTGTCTTGACTTTTATACTCTTCTCCTTAGTGCTTAGCTCTCAATTCAGTACTCGTAGCGTCCTAGAAACCCCTTAACACGTATATCCATGAGCATTTTCTTCTATATAGCTCATTAACCAATCTTATACGGCGCCTTCTTGGTTGGTTGACATGTTAGCAGATAAAGCCGGGGTCTACTCCGTCCATTGTGGGTTTCGAACTGCGAGATGGGAATATTGGAACATGGAATTAATTTTCCGAGGGTTGTTGATTACGACCATATTTGAGAGGCTTGGCGCAAATGATTGGATGGCTCGGCGCTGACGAGTGATCGCCTATGATGCATAGGTAAGTCTGGCGGCGGCGGGGAAATAGACTTAACCCCACCAACAACTGTAGTTCATCAGCCAATTTCGTAATATTTCTTCTATGCTTCTGCAGTCCTTGTTTCTTAACCAGGAGTAGAGTAGATGGAGGTGGTGTAGCTAGCTTACGGGAGGGTGGGCGGTAGCGGCAGGAGAGAGGGTGGCTTGGCTAGAACTAGTGCTTCTATGCTACAGAGAAGATGCCCTTTCAGCCCCGACATGCACAACCCTTTGCACTCAGCACCGGAGCGCAGTGGATTCCAGACTGTTTCCGCCCTGATGCAGCAGCAGAATACTGACAGTCTTCGATGAACATGACCGTAGTGACTAGCGACTAGTTGTACTTCAGCGAGTCGGGGGATGTGTCCTGATTCCCTTCAGCGGTTCCTTGAGTATTGCTAACCTGAGGGATAGTTGATTAGCCATTGAGATGAGAAGAGCCTCGCACAAGGAAGATGAAAAACAAGCATCATGGCAAAGCTGGAAGGGTTATGAAACTCTGGGGCCCTCTAGCTCTGGAATAATGCAGCAGCGACATACGAAGCTTTTGGCACATTCTAAAGACCAATAATCGAGGCAAAATCGCTTACCCGGATGTTCTCTTTTTCAAAGTCTGTGGTCACATGACATAGCAAATCACCAATATCTTATCCGGGGAGTAACGGCTGTGATAGAATCATGAATTATCACTCGGACTACCTGCCGCCGACTTACTTTGATTCGCCTACCGCCAAAAGGGAGACAATTGACGGCTGCAGATAAGCGGACCGATTCTGAGCACCATAATCTTTTGATAATGTCCATAAATTCGAGGCTGTATTTGCAGGGTATCCAGAGACCTATGATAAATACACATGCAGTTTCACAGTTAGTCATCGCATCAAAATTCCAAGAATTTAAATAACCAATCATTTAGCCCCCCAAAGTCAAGTCGAATAAGTTACCCGTCACCAGTATGTTTGGTTCAGGTACCTAGATTCTCCGTTAATACTCACATCAGTCGTAATGTACCAAAAACGGTATCTTAATGATCTACCATATCCGCGGTTGCTAGAGGTTGCATTCGACTTTGACTGAGTCGATATAAACCATCATGTGCTTTTAATTTCTTCCATGGATAGGAAAAATACATGTGTCAACTCGGAATTGAACACGAGTAGAAGCGCAAGGATTGAATATCTGCCTATACCTACTAATGCGGGAATGGGAGGGCCAGGAGTTCCGACTGGATGGATTCTCCAAAAGCATAATTCCTGGATCTCAAATAGGCATGGTAGAACGGACACCGTGAGGATACTGCCTTTGATAAAGAATCTCAGGTGTCGAATACCCCACTAATCTGATAACCTATGCCTGACCACGGAGAAGATTGCATCCTTTCACCTTTACTACAATCAGCAGATGAAGGCAGGAATTCTAAAGCCAATGATAATATCTTACAATTTGTACGAAGAGGAAGCCTTACCATAGCCGGCTGGGTATCGTAGATATCTACAGGGTATGTATTCTGTCCCAGAGGAACCACCTGCCAGCATTTACTTGATACAACTAACCAATCTCGCCTAAGTCACCTTTGAGGATCCAACAAGCATATACACAAGCAGTTGACATATGAAATTATTTTGTTACACCAAGCCAGTTAGGATCAGAATGCAAAATATTATTCTAATTGGGTATGACTTAAAACGGGTGCTATGATATCCCAGCTTATCATTGTATCGCCAAGACAAACAAGGCGAATCACGCTGATATAAAGATCGGCTCGACCCCACTGATATGACACGTACCTGGTCGGACTCAATCGTACCACTACTCCACGGCAGTGCGCCCCCCTATTGACATACTTACCGCCCTCACAGACAGACACTGCCTTCTTGTTATGGGAGAGATAGTAACGATGTCAGGGACCGAGAGCGTGGCCATCGTGGTCGCAGAAAGCGTTCACGAGGCGGAGGGAGATGGAGAGGGAGAGAGAGAGAGAGAAGAGGTGGAAGCCGTGGAGGGAGAGGAGGAAAGACTATGTTCAGGTTGTCGCACGGTTTATACCATTGACCAATTTCAGGGCACCGACAAGAACGCTGGGAAAACAATGCTGACGTGTATGGGCTGCCGAGCGAAAAACGGAAAGCTTGTCGCCGAGAAGAAATGTACAGATTGCCGCACAAATCAGCCACTGGACCAATTCCAAGGCTCTGGTAAGCGCTTCGAGGGGAAGGAAATGAAGACATGTTCAACTTGCCGGTCTAGGAGGGACCATAGGGATGCGAGCTTCATGAGTACCAGGTCGAGTGAGGGAACGAAGAAAAGTCTGATCCCGGAGGTTGGGTATGTACGTGATACTCGGCGTAACAGACTGGGGGAAACCAGGAGAAAGATGCTAGATAAGATAGCTAAGCAGTTGGTTGATAATGGAAACACTTTTACGGACAAGCACTGGAAGGACATTACTGAAAGCCAAAAACTCACAGCATGGGAAATTCCACAGGTCAAGGTAGGATCCATAGTGATCTCGTCATCACCTTCCCCCACGGCCCGCCTACACCAGCTTGGTTTACTGATTGATATTGGGCGGATAGAAATATATTGAGAACGCTATGGAGAATATCGAAAAGGTAGGAAAACTTTTCCGTCCATTCTCTTCTTTTTCCTTCTTTTTTCTATCGCGACACATGCTGCTGCATGTGTGGGAGGCCTGCATGCTGCGTGTTTGGGTGAATTGAGCCGCAGGTCTATCGCTGTATCTTATCGTGGTGGTGGAAGCGGAGGTGCCGTGGTTGGCACACATGCTCAGCTCCTCCCAGATTACCCAGACGCGTCTTCCGTCCTTCTTCCTTTTCCCCCTCCCCCGCCTCGCCCCGCATTTCTGTCCTTCAGTGACTTCTACATATTCATCGCAGTACCTGGGGAGATTGCCATTTTGTACCATTCTCGCAATTACCTGTTTGATTCACGATTGACTGCATAATATCTAATATTATCTCAACGTTTGCTGTCCGCGATCCCCTCCTCTAATCCTGCCGTTCCCTTCTACCCGCAATACAACCACTTCCGCCACTGACCCAGTGGCACCTGTGTGCCCAAACCATCGACTAACAATATCATCATGTCCAGGCTCGGAAAAAAGACAAAGTTGCCGCCGCTCCTCCCGGCCGAAAAACAGCAAACTCAAACTCAAGCTCATCCTCATCATCAGCTGCCGAGCACACACCAAAATCGTCGCCACAACCAACCACTTCAAAAGAACCCACCACCACACGGATGAAGCCAGTGACCCGCGGGCAAACCGAGCAGGTCGCTCCCCGTCGCAGACTAACAAACAATTCTAACCAAACTTCAGTCGCCTCAATTGCGGCAGAGTTCAGGGAGACCACATCACATCAGGCCACCAGTGCCAGTGCTAAAGGATCTACCAGTTCTGCGCCAATAGCAAAAAATTTAGTCCGTAAGAATGCTGGCGTCTCTACACCAACATTCATAAAAATCGACGATGATACCGCCAGTGAAGCTGAGGCATCAGATCGGGACGTCCGAGAAGTCCAGAGCAAGGCCAAATCGCCACCCCAGACCCGTACTCAGAGCAAACACACCACTCCAGCTTCTGTCACTCGCTCCTCAACTTCCAAAAAGCGATCCACCCCACCACCTTCCTCTAGTAGTATAGACACGGAGGATATCTACCAGCCCAAACGGCCCCGCACCCAACAATCAGAGAGGGAAAGGGAAAGGGAAAGGGAAGAGGAGGGGGAAGAAGAGTCCAATCCCAGAGCTGATCTGGAAGCATTTGCGAACTCACTGGAACGACTGAGCAGGCTGCTGTTTGCAGCGAGGGACAATTTAAGCAGGAAACAGGTTGGGGTTCTAGAGAACGACATACACCATGACTGGAAGGTGGACGAAATGTCGACATTTGTGGAAGGTTTTTTGAGAGGGGCCGATGCCCTAGATGGACGACTGAAAGACTGATTGGAATACGACGGGTCGCGCGGTAATGGGTTTTGGGTTTTGGACCAGCCCTCCTCTTCTTGGCTCCATGGGGTTCTTGAGGGGGAAAAATAATTATATACCATGATCTCCCCTTCCCCTCCTTCTCCTACGATAATCAATATAGTTATTACTGTATGGTATAAGCATACCATTTTCTTTTTCTCTTGTCATTTCATTTCTGCCATTATCATGTGGAAAAAACCCTTTCCGCGGGGCACACGGATGGGGTGACCAATGTTGTATCAGGGAGTTTGGAGCTCATCGTCTTTTTTTTTCAGTCTTTCTTTTTTTTTCTTTTTTTTTCACGCTTTTCTTTTGTTGCTCACCGACGTCAAGGAAGGGTTATTTAGAAGTTGTTTTATGTCCTTGTGTCTTTTTTATGTCTTTATTTCCTTCCGATGGAAGTTGAAGCGAGGGGATATTTTGCTGCTCTCACCTGACCGGTGAGAGGTAATTTATAGTCAATGCAAGCGTAAACAGACAGCTGCAGCGGGATGAAGCGGCAGGCAGGCAGTCGGCACTGTAAATGCAACCTATGTACGGATGAAAGGTGCTTTTCTTCACAGGGAGCAGAGCAAGCGTTCATTACCTCATCACCATTGAAAAACTTATACATGGTGAGTTCTAATGGCTTCAATCAGCTCCTATCACTCGATCACGTGCGACTTGAATTTGTATCCTGGTCGTTCTGCCTTTAGCACGGACTGCATTAAACTTCATGTAATGTTGTTTGCTGTAAAGATTGTTGAGTAGTAAAAGTATGGTGTTGGTGCTGGTCGATATATTTGTGGGTTCCGGTTACTAGGCTTCATACACGTATTTTTCTAATTTGAAGATACAAATACTTGAGTAGGGAAGGAACTACGAGTAAATGATCTTCCTGGCTAGACATCCTGGGGATACTTTGCATCTTTTAATACTGAAATCTGTCCTACTCATTAAGAGACAAGGGTAAAAGCTACATATGCGTTCGGTGCGATGTGCTGGCCGAGAAAAGAGCGCCGAATCTGCATGATAGACTTTGTGAAAGTCGCTCTAGAGTTTACTCCAAGTTGTCCTATGACACTTGATTCATCTGTGAATTGATCTTAGTCGCACGTTCTCGGGCAGCAGTGAACTTTTTGTTCCGCTGCCAAAATAGATTGCCCCCGCAGGAGATGATGCCCACAATATTGCCTGAAATCTCACTCAGGAAAAGGTTTATGATTTATACGTGCAGCTAATCAAATCAGTATATACAGTGACCCAAAATTCCAATTTGGTGCAACCCTCCTTAAAGTAGGATATTAAAATCTTTCCCAAAATAGTTTACAGCGAAAACACCGTCGACATTTTACCTAGGGGGTTGACAGACCACACCCGGACCATTTTTTAAATTTGAATAATGATCATTGAGTCCGTTTTCGCGCGGCATGAAAAGTAAAGGAAAGGAGACTGGCCGATTTTTTTAAAAAAATAAGATGTAAAACCCGTGAACTTATTTGTGCGCAGTGGCGAATAAACCGACCCGACGCAATGACTGAGAAAATAACCCGAATTTCAACTGAACGGATCTCATGAGATCCTATGATGTGTCACACTAACTCATCATCCCCCAGACCACGGTGGTGGCGGCCCATCATTTCGATTATTCCAACCCTCCTCAAGGCCATAATTTGACGGCTGAAGTCCATCGTTGTTGCCCAACCAGGTACCTGAATCTAGGTCAAAACCGCCAAAATCCAATGGATTACCTGGGTTTGAGAATTGATCGAGTAGAAATATATCTACGCCGTGAAACCCTTCGGCATCATAGAATTGAGAATTAGACGCCACATAAGGACGTAGGGGCATTATTGGCGGCCCCATGGACAGGCCCTGGTCATAGGTTGTTGTATACGGCGTAATCTGTACGTTCTCGGCAATCGGGGACATTGATAGTAACGGTGGCGTTGCAGAATATATGATTCGACGCTTCGATCCAGGTGGGGTTGATGCTGGCGATGTCGATAGCGGCGATGTCGAAGGCGGCGATGATCTTGCGGGCCCTTAGTAACATGAGTAAGTGTATGTATCCTAAAATTACAGTATATTTGTGAGCGTACCTGATGCAATAGCTTTGTGCGCAGCTATCCTTTCTCGGGGGGCACCGCTATATGCGTTCTTTGGGTCGTCTCCAGTACTCTTCAAGCTTGATAGCACTGCAGCACATTCTTTTTCTTCCACTGCTCTTCTTTGCCCTGAACTGTTGATCGCACGAATACCCAATTTTGCCATTGCACCCGCGACCCACCACCATTCGCCGTAGTATGTAAGTTTTTCAATACAATAGGTATATTCTGAAATACATTTACCGTGACCTTCACGTACTTGTGCATAAAAGGTTGTTAAGGCAAGCGATAGTGCATAAGGCAATATGGGGGTCGGTGGGAGTGGTCCTTTACTTTCGCCGAAAATTTGTATAACGTTCCTTGCGGCATTTAGACGACGAGTGTACGAATGACTGTGAGTTTGATTTTGAGTACGTGTGCGGTGAGAGAGTATAGAGATGGCGTAGTAAAATAATTTGAGAATAACTGCAACATATCAGACCAAAACCTTAGCAAGACTAGAGACTATGGTTTACCTAGTTGGCCTCCTTCCGGCACTTCCTCATCTTGTAAATGAGTCTCAAATTCTGGAAACGGGTGTTCCCAATCCCTCTCATTCCCAGGGCGATACAGGGCGATGACTGACTCCAGAAGCTCGGCGAGCTTAACCATAATACGGAATCCTGCCCCCCTTCCACCCTTAAGTTTGGTGGGCCGATCAATGCTTACGTCTTCCAGTTTCACTAAGATAGGCCTCCCGTTCATGGCAGCCTGAAGTTTATCCAACGTCCATAGACACCACCATAACTCCTCAGCTCTGGAATTCCTGATATGTAGACCTAGTGAGTGTGCATGATGGATCGCCATAGCTAAGTTACGGCTCGATTCGTTTCCTCCGCCCAGGGATAATAGTGCATATACACGCACGAGGTTCATACGATCACGCTCATCATCTGCGTATAGCAATGCTTTGATGCGTGTTTCAAGACGCAGTGAAAATTCGGAAGGTTTCAGAAGTTCACCGGACGCCGATAAGCGCAAATGCGCTACCGCATCAGCGTGTCGAGAGGCAACAAGTAGTATACTTTGTAGTAACACAGTCGGAATCTTGTCCGGGGTTCTAAACAACACACAAGTCGCATCATCGATTATCGGGAATAAAGGATGAATTGAACTATAATACAGCCCGAGCAGTATTTCCATACAGGACCGAGTCGGAAGTGCATAGGCGCTTAACGAAGAAAGATATGCTTCCAAGTGCTTTTCAGGTCCACATTCCGCAGCTGGAGCTACGGCGGTAGGTTTTTTAGAGCTCTCTTGGTCTTGAAAACGCCGCTTCAATCCTTTGTGCCTGAGCAGGGGTTCAGGTGATTGTGAGACCCAAACGCCCACCTCGTTGCGGTCAGTTGCGACCTCAGACCTCGAAGCGGAATCAATATCGTTGGCCGTCAAGAATACGGATTCTGGATTAAGATCACCGATAAACCGTGGATTCTTATCAGTGATTGTATTCTGTTCGGCAGGATCTTCGTTGTCGTTGCGGGGTTCGTCTGATGGCCATGTAGTAGTTTGTGGAGCCTCGGAATCAATCAAAGCCAGACTATTACACAAGTGTTAATAAAGGATTTTCTAGCGGGTAGTAGCCATGACCTGCACTGAATGCCGTCCTGAGCACAGCTTGCACAACGCTCGTGATTTTCGAATGGTGGAGGACACTTTCTCTGTTTTCTGTCAGATTGACAGCTTTCAACAAGTGTATCCCTGGGTTGCCATATACCCGTCTGCTCTTGCACTGTTCACATGCGCGGTGTGCTCTTTTGCGCTTTCTATATGCGCTATTGTTGGCGGCGAACACCACTTGAACCGCCTTTCCTCCGGTCATAACGGCCGCTTTAAAACAAGGCTACGTCGATAAGAGAAGGAGGAGCGGATGATGAGACGACGAGACGAGGATGAGGGTAGTAGCTAGTTGTTGTCGATGTTGTTAATGAGAGTGTAAGTAGAAACCCGAGAGCTGTCGTGAACGATTAATGTAAGTAGAGAAAGAGTGAGAGAGAAAGAGAGTTATAGAGGAAGGGTGTGGCCGAAGAGGATGTCGAAGATATGTTTGACGTTGTAATCGGCTGGAGCGTTTTCTCCAGATCAGCCGCGGGCCACGCTAATAATATTGATCCACGCAGAGCCTCAGAGACCCACTTAAGCTAAGTACGATGTACTGCGCACAGTAATTATTCACGGCCCTATTAACATTGTCATCCATACATAATAAGTACTGGCTGATGCGGAAGTTCAGGCCCGTCAATAAAATCTATGCTCATGCCGCGGGTCATATGTGCTGTAGCTAGTTGTACAGGAAGAGCATGAACGTGAGGCGCACAGCGACGCGCAGCGGGGAGGGAGGGTATTGATATATGGCGACAAGTAAAAAAGTGTTGAGTCCCTGAGTATTATATGTAATTCTCCATCCTGGCTTTTGAGGAGTCATTTCAATTGCTAAATTAGTTCTCGCATACCCATATCACGAGTGAATGTGATACAGATATATCTAGCCATGGTTTAGTTGACAGTTACATGCTGTATGAGGTAGACTACACAAATTACATGTACCCAACTAATCTCAAACTACTCATCCCTGGCTCTCTGGCCCTAATCCCTCCCAACAAGCTTTTTGAATTGCAGCACACTAGACTCCTGGCGGTTAAACTATCTGAAAGGCGTCATATCGCCAAAACCGTGGAGAGATCATATCATGCTTGCCAATCGCAGACAAACGGTCCATCATCATTAAGACATTGCGATTGTTAATTATCAGTTTGTCACCTTTATTGAACACTAGCTAAATTTATTAGATTTTCGAGGGTTGGACCCTTCACATGCATATCTAGTAGATCTAGAGCGCTTGAGCTCATTCAAGTACATGTAGATGTGATTCTCATAGGGCATATGGACATTTGGCAGCAATCTTAAGGTATATATCGTGACCGACGCCACACATCCAAAAATCTAATACTCTCGGTCCTGGTAGGCAGAAGAGTTCACAGGTTTCGGAATGAGTATCTGTAATTTGAATTCGAAAGGTGCAATGGTACATCGCCAGTTTATTCGACTTACTAGCTAGACGTATAGAGTCCGTTATATAATGGCCGTTATACCAGGTGACATTATCTTGGATTGCGAAGAATGGATTCAGATTTTGTTTTGCAAGCTGTTTACTAAGGACCTGAAACCAGAAGAACGGAACAAGTATATACACCTAGTACGCAAGGTAAAGGCAAGCAACCAGAGGCACTCTCAAACTCAAACACCATGAATTGCCTTCCATTCCTCAACCAAACCTTTATAGTCGATTGGACGATAAAGCCCAAAAAATTCTCTCAAAAAACCCTTCTTCCTGTTACTCTTTAAGGATAACTCCTTCAGCATAATATCAATCATCTGAATTCAATCCGGTCAGCAACTTTCATCACATATATTTAACATACATGTATATAAGGTAGTCATCATAATCAACTTTCAAGGGTGGAGTTGGCTTACGGGCAAGAAGTCATACAATATATATGGGATCTTCTCTCCAGCTGTCAGGTACCGTTTTTTTATCCATATATCTAGTAATGCCACCTCTTTCTCCATTTCCTTCGCTGAGATTTTCAATTCCAACTTCCCCGTCATCCAAGCCACAGCCCACAATGCATGGACTTCGGATATAATGGCCGTATACCCCGTCCCGATAGCACCGACAAAAACAAATGATCTATCATTACTTTTGTAGAGCGCAGTTGGGAGGATACAGTTGTAGAGGCGAAACGGGGTGTGTGGTATATCTGGGACCCTATAAGAGGGTGGCGGTGATGCTAGTCGCGGGAATAGCTCACTAACCCTAAGCTCTGCTTCGTGATCCAAACTCCTCCACTTCTGACTAAGTTCCTTGGGGTAGTAATCTTTGGGATATGGAAGGCCGAGGTGAGCGGCGGATAAAACTCGCAAACATCCGGGGGATATAGAATCAGAGCGGGAGGGATCCTGCACTATGGTGTTCCAGCCTGTAGCGAAAATGAGGGCGTCTACCTCGACTTCAGTGCCGTCTGTCAATGTCACCTTTGACTGCCCTGAAAGCGACTCAATTCCTGCCCTGTAGACTGTGACTTTCTCGCCTTTGTGGAGAACATCTAGAATCTCTGGCTTAGTTACTATACACGAATGTGTATTTTCCCAAAAGATACTGAAACTCTTATGTCAGCCTTCCTTTCTTCAAAGTCTCCCAAGACAAGCAAACTGGGTAACTTTCGTTACAAACCTTCGATCTAGCACATCTGGCTTAAGCATCTTCAGATTACGACTTTTCTCATACCCCCATTGACTATTCATAATTGAAGATACCAGTCCCCAATACGCCCACTGCAGCCAGTACCCAAATCTACTCTTCCCACTATGTAAAAACCAATACCACCACCCCTTACGAGCAAATACGTTAGGGTGCCACTTTGACGCATATCGGCTTCCGATGAAAGTATCTGTATTCTGACCAAATAAATGGCTCGGCTTCAGCGACGGGGCACCAGACCCGTCTTTCCTAATAACCCAATACACATGCTTACCCAGATTTACACAAGTGCTCACTACATCCAGCGCTGACTTACCACCACCATATACTAGAACACGCTCTACCTCAGGTGCAGCGAGGCGCTCCAGTTCGGCGCCTAGACTCTGTGAATGGAATTTCAGGCCAGTAAATCCAGTGTCCTCTAAGTCTGGAACGAAAGGCTGGGATGTTGTCCCCGTTGCCAGGATCAACTTATCACAATAAGCTATCCCTCTATCATTGGGGCCTTGATACTCTACACTCCACCCAGAATTGTTGTGGGCCCTGTCGATTGCCTGTATCTCATGGGACAATTTAATGCGGTCAAGTAACTTGAACTTTCGTGCGTAGTCTTCCATGTAGGTGCACAACATCTCTGCGGGTATGAAGGCATCAGATGACATGCCCAGTGGAGTCTCAAGAGGGAGGTCAGAGTATTCGAGTACGCCAAAGGGCTGCTGAGCGGTAAGGCCTGGGTAGATTCTATCGCGGCTCCAGGGGCCACCGACGGCGCTGGCGCGCTCAAAGATTGTGAGCTCAACTGTGGGGTCGACTTCGAGATAGCTGTAAATGACCCAAATAACAAATTAGGGCCGCTCAATAGGTGCTGGTTATGATAAAGTGTACTGACGTCTTTGCTGTGACCAATCCAAACCAGCCTGCATGTAAACGTAAGTTGTGGAATCTTCCATTTAATTTAGGATAATGATACCTGCGCCAACAATTATCACTTTCGTCGGTGCCATCTTTGTAATAATAATCAACTGAGAATATGCGTCGAAGACCAAACAGGAGGTGTAGTCACTTCTTAAGGATAAATATCAGCGGGGTAATCTATCCTCATGTATTACAAGTTTTTTTTTTTTTTTTTTTTTTTTTTTGTTCAGAGACTTATGCACTATTAAGTACAATGCAGTACCATGTACTCTATGGACCTATCTCAGCCCTACATATTTCAAACACGTGTCGGTGCAGGCTACTAGTGGCTACGTAGGGCTGGTTTTTAGTTCAATCATTGATACATCGTCATTGATCAGCCCTAAACACGGGAGAACAGGGATGGGATAAACTACCAGAGTAGGGAATTAGACTACATCAGTCAGCACCTGCAGAGGAACAGCTAAGGTTCGTCCCGCTGTCAGGACAGCAGAGTACCTACAGTATGTACCCATGTGTTGCCCCTACTTAAGCTCTAAGCACTTAAGCTCGAGCATAGCTCTCAAACATGCATTGGCACACTCTGCTAGTCCCTGCGGGTTGTGGGGGATCAGGTCTGCCGAGCCGGGATATTTAGCTGGACCTAAGGAGTAGTTTGGTCTTCTTAGAATTAATACCTACAGCGGGAAGATTTTTATGTTTCCAGCCTCTACATGTAGTTCTGCTGATGTACACGGTACATGATCTACATGTAGCTCTGGATCTTTTCTTTATATTCAAGGAACGACCTCAATGGCATATGGATTGTAATCAAGTCCCGGAAAGCTCTCAGAACTTGCTTTATTGCGCCATTTCTGTCTTCGCCTATTTTTTCATTCTTTCGGGGACAAATTCTTGTAGCCCTCATCAAAATATTTCGTTGAATATATTTGTTCCGGACTGAGAAATACACGTACAGATCTGGGAACAACCATAGAATATATGATCACGTCGCATTTGTGCATAGTTGAGAGTTCCCTCAGTCAATGGGAAAAATCTCTCGGGTACAAATATTTATTAAGACCGAACTTCCTCTCGGTTTACTAATGAGCCTTTCCCCAGCCTTGTTATGAGGTCAAAATATTAATGCTGTAGGGCTAGGTTTTCCTCTAGTGCGCCCGCCCTGGTCAGCCTGTAAACCGCATTACTGGTAGGCTCCACAACATCATCTTTCCCGACCATAACTACCAAACTTGCAATGTCGCCGTATTTAGTGCTCGTAAGCCCCGCCGATCTTCCTCCCCTCCTTGATGCTGATGCCTCGCTCTACCCCTCCCCCTTGACCCTCTCTACCCTCTCCTCTTGGACCTCCACAGCGCCGTCACTCTCCTTCAAATATCTCCCCACAACCGAAAGCACTTCGCCATGCGGAGTATGCATAATTCTACCACTCTTCTCAATGCATTGGGAAGCATTGATCAGAGGTGAGCTGAAAGAATGGGATATAACCCCAGCTCACCTCGGCATAGAAGATGAGGCGGTAGGGCTACATGTGTGGCATATTGAACGTTTTGAAGCATGGCAACGGGATTGGGGCAGCTTTGGATCCTGGGCCTGGAAGGACCTGGAAAAGGCTGTAGAGAGAATGGTGGTAGGTGGATCCAAGGGCGTGATTGGATATTCAGGTAAGCATGTAAATTGACGTCGTGGAGCTATGTTTTTGATAATGACTCGGATTGTAGCACTTTGCGTAACACCTGCTGGAGAGCATCTGTTTCGTGAATTATTGGGCTTCACAGACTCGCGGTACTACAGCGGACAGGTCGTTGTTAAGGATGCCGGCTCCGGCCGAACGGAAATTGTAGAAAGGGAGGTGTGGGAAAGAACACCAAGTGAGCAAAAGAAGGGAGAGATTGTGGCACAGTGTAGAATGCTGGTAAGGTATTCTTAGGGATTGGCTACTATATTGGATTATTTAGGCTTGTTACCTTGCCCTCGCTTGCTGTTCAGCATCGAAGACAACTTCACGTCTAGCACTATAACCAGAGTAGGGAATACTAGAGTTTGCAGGTACTTATTACCACACATTGGAAGAAAAACTATTATTCAATTGATATCTAAGTAAATTTTAACCACCTATCTAATTCGGCTTTGATTTTACAGCCACGCAGAGGATACCTAGGACTTACATGTCAGCTACCACGTGAGATCAATTGATACTCTCAATCTTAAATAAAACCCTGCCCTCCGGAGCAAGCAGCTATCCGATTGGATACCATCTGATTGGATGCCACTTGAGAACTGCGGGCGTGGAGATACATACAACCACCGGAGCTATCGCCATGCAGGTTCGGTGCGCATTCCCCAACTATGGTTCTCAAACGGCTTCCATGGTGGCGCCGCAGAGCAAGGCTACAGTGCTGTTATCAAACACTGAATGATTATTCTAGGTTTTCTCGAAGTACAGTTGATATACGATCATTACCATTCCGCCTACATGGATCTTCAAATGTCTGGCTGGACGATTCATAGCACATCATACAGCTTGGATCTGTTCGATTCCCTGAAGGACTAACTTACGATATTTATCTAAAGCTACTCTCCAAATCTTTGCTCGGGCCAGAGAGATTTGCTTTACAAACAGCTCTCCACCAGATTCTAAAAGAGTTATTCTTGCCGCTCATGGCCAAACAGGCAACTACCAAGAGTCTCTAAATCAGCAGCCAGAGCGAGACCTGTTAGGGTACTCTGTTAGTAATAATTCCAGTATACAATCTTTGTCAGTCTAAACAGTGATCCTGTTATTCGCGTACTATGATCGTACTTCTGGTCAGGCCGATCCTGATAACGCCTTTAATCATTGGCCCTATCTCCTAAAATTCGGGACCAGCTGATATTTTACAGCATTACCAAAGTAAGCCTTAACCTTCGAGGCTGAAGCTTCAATAACACCAAATAAAACAAACCAGATTCATGGAAAATTATATTATTATGCACGGTCAAGCCTGAGGATATTGTGGGGAAAACAAAAAACATGGCCAGACCAGATGAAACTCTCAAAATGCGCACCAATTACAGGCATTAGTGTGTCATTTACCCTTTCACTCAGGATCCAAAGCTCAACTCAGGGCTGATTCATTTAGCCGGTGGTCCAATCATAGAAGCCACCCACAAATATATATATTGATCCCATCTGCGCTGAATAATATTCCTATTCTATGCGTTCAAACGACACAATCACACTTTCCACATCCAGATTATGGGCTAAATTTCTAATCATACCTACCCTCCTCAACCTGAACTTTATTATAGAACGGACAACGTATTATCACTCTTTCTTGAAGCCGAGATCTTATTTGCAAGATTTCCATGTAAGGAGGGCCTAAAGAAACGAACGGGGGGTGATAAATTCAGGTATCTTGGCTACTTCGAGGCCGATATATCGCAAAATCAGTAGCAAACAAAAACGAAACTGAAAATGACTGGCGCAGTACCATACCTGATAACGGTGAGGTAGAATAATAGGCAACCTTTAACAAAAACAATTATATCAATGCAGGGCATCATAACCATAACTACCACCTACTTTCCCTCATCACTGATCATGAATTAAAATTGAGCCTTAGGCCCGATAGCCCGTATACCCCCCACCCCCCCCTTCTTTAAAACCATTTTTTAACTAACGTAGGCAACCACTTAGGTACCGGAATGGAATTAGCCAGAGATGTAACATCCCCCTTCATAAACCTAGGAGTTTAAGATTGCATCGTCACGCCATTTTTTATTGACTCGATAGTCTCATACTTATAGACATACACAGCTGGTAGCTGTTATGCGGTGTGTTAAGACTCAGCACTATCTACCCCTTAGGCGGTCAGGCCGAATCAAAATCTTGAGCGAACATGATATGACCTAACGTGCTTTACTTAACTCTATCACTGTTCATTCTTTCTCCACGGGGTTAATGAGAGAATGAATACTAACAGCGTTCAATTAAGGATGTTAAGTCATATCACGTTCGGTCATGATTCTCATTTGGCCTGACCGCCTAAGAGATGGTCAAAAGGAAAGTTGAGTAAAAGTCAAAAGATTAGAATTGTCTGCTACAGATGTTTTGAGCTCAAATACAGACATGTGGTCATCCTGCTGACAAGTTGTGTGATGGTCTATATCTTGGCACAATTCAATCATTGACCCAATGCTGTTTGTAGGAACATACTTTCCACGCTGGTATTTGTAGTTTCGCGCTCTGGAGTATGTGTGAAATGACAGAAAATACACACAGCACCACCGCTTATTGTAAGGTCTAGCCTAGCACTACAACTTCCTCTTGACCACCACAGGAACTGGTACATGGTAGTATCTGGTTGCCTAGATCTAGACATATCAGCGCATCTCACTGAATAGGGAGACCTTCATACATAAGATATCACAGGGTGGGAATTGCTAGCATTTTTAATTTAGTGGACGCTTTCACTGGCCATGGGGTATACGATCTGCACGGTCCCAAATATACGCCTGAGTAATAAATTATACGCAGAGGGCCGATCAACTTTTTGGCTTCCATTCATAATCTTGGAATTGACCTGTTAAGCATATCCCCGTGAAGGCGTCTAGTGGATTGTCTTGACGTGACGGTTAGGTGAGATGAAACGTGTCGTTGACTCAAGACTCACTCCATATTGCCAATTAGCCCTAACCCTCGTGCCAAGACACCTCTGATGAACCAGATATTTTTCACCAAAGGACCGGTACATATATTAACAGCAATTGGCATTAGGTACTAATAATCAAAGAAGAGTAAATTGATTTTTGACACATTGCATAACTCTGGGGTATGGATTCGCTAGTAATGCAGCAAGAATACGACATTACTAGTTTAATTGCTAAATCCCGTAATGTAGCTTGATATGGTATCATGCGTGGCATCTTTCCAAAGGTACTCAACTTCCTGATGTACCCAGGGTGTCGGAAAATGATGCACATTTGGTGATATCTCAACCATGAGAGAATTAATCTTCACACAAGTCTATCTTGAGGTCAATTTGAGTGTGCGGATTCCTTTCATAATGAAAAAATGGGTGGGAGGGTCTGTCATCGATACTTTTTGAGTTTTTACTACTGGTTTTGGCTATCTAATAGTTATTTCACATTCAAATAACACTAAATGTATTCTTGGGCATTACAGAGATGTCCTACACTCGAAGTTTGAATTTAGGGAGCGTGTTGCATTGTACAGCGGTGGGTAATAAGTCATCGGACGACCTAGCCACAATTTTGCCTGCAAACGCGTATTTTGGTGGCGTTCCGTCTGATGACTTATTACCCACCGCTGTACCAAAATATAGGTATTTGGGGTAATTGGGCGTTGCCAGGCCAAGGAAGGGTACATCCTAAAGGATCTGATACGTTGTCGTATTTCTAATTTTTGCACCCCATCCCCACAGATGTTTCTGCACTTGCAAATCACTCCGTATATCCGAACCATCGCCGCTTCGATATGCTCATCGCGGTATTTCTGGGTCTCCATCCTCCAGATGCAATCAGTCACGGGTTCTATTTGTTGTCCGCTGAATAATCTCAACCCGAGACGTCTGGAAAAGCTCATAGGCCAAGCAACAATAAGGCTTTGGAGATTTTACCTGTAACTGCAAGAGTTGCTGCAACCGCCTGGGCACTGCCTTGTGCTACGCACGGCCTACTCTACCATACCAAGATTTCAATGTAAGCAATGGGAAACATCTGATTGGAGAGGTATTTGTTTTGCAGCTCACAGCGTGGGATAGCAGGCATCCCCCCAACAAGGTAAAATTACCCTTAACCCAAGACCTAAGATAGTAATGCGTACATACACTTCCATCTCTTTACTTTTTTCTTCTCCCGGGATGTTCACTGCATCCTCTTTCGACTCCTCCACAGTCCAAGATTCCTCGGTACAAGCGGGTGGACTAGAACCATATCAAAAGTACTGATGTACCTTGATGGATAAGCCATCACGTACCCGTCCTGGCCCACTGGGTGTAATCAAAATATCGGCTCATCTATCAAGGCCTCAATAGAAGGGCCACTGCACGTTTGATGACCAGGGATGATAATACGGAATGCTGCGTATGTATTCTGTTTTCGCAGACAAGACTTTATCCCGGGACCGACAACAGAGACACTGCTGCTTCTGGGGTCTGCCCGAATGGTAGGAATAGTCAGGTTCGGGAGTGGAAGTGCTGAGATGGAGTATGTGGTGCAGATCTGCTCGATGGACGGCATACTGCCAACCAAATTTCTTGTGTATTGGTATGGTTCCGAGGAGCACGCCGGTATGCCACCGACGGAGATTGATTGAAGCGCAAGAGACGGCAGCTTCCTTGATCTGGGGGGACCAAGTCCCAAAACCTGCGATTCTCAAGGAAACTGCTCTTTGAGTACAAATTTCATAACCCTGCGTCCGGCAGCAAAACAAAACATATATCATTTAACCGGTAAAAAAAACCTACAGGAGAAACATTTCTGGTGCAACCTGTATTACTACTCCAGCTCGCTGATCTTTGCGGCGTTGATGAGTGATGTGCCGTGCAGTTTCATACGGCTTTTAGAATCTGCAATATTAATCCTTACACACCTCGATGTTTCTTCGGTAGCAATAACATCACGCCCAGCGCGGCCAACGCCCGGCCCGCAGACATGCCAGCGATACCTTGTAACCGTCTGAAGTAAGCCATCCACCTCCACGAGGTACTACAATCCTTCTTCTCTCCTGGATCAATAGAATGCGGAATAAACGCCTACTTACACCGTGCACTGCATGGGATTCTTTCTCAGTAAACGTCCACCATATCATCTCACCCAGAGGGGGAAAGCTCACCCGATAATTAAGACTCGCAAACGTTTCTTGACAAACATCCATCGCCTTTTTGTTTCAGTCCCCGTTCGCTGGAGCGGGATCCGGAGTAGCCA